AACCAATCAAATTTTTATTGTTTCTGATAATTATTTAATGGGCTGTTTTTGATATCTTGTTAATGCTCGTATTACCTAAAAAAGAATAGATATGTCATATCTGACAATCCTCATAGATTGCTCAAGTGACTTGCTGTGGGAGTGTATTTTGTTGCCTGGCATTCCAACTTTAGTTAAATTTAAATAAAAAAAATGTTTATAAACTGTCATCTGTACATGTAGTTTGCGTTCAAAGTCAGTCATTTCATGTAGAATTTGGGTTAAGATTATTATTGTCTGTACACAAAAAAGGTAAACTGATAAGTGGTGTCAAATGTTATCGAAAGAGTAAGCATACTCAACATTGTACACTACTTCAGTGACTATTGGCATGAAGCAGTAATATTAAATCAATATTACTATGTTCCATAACCTATTCAATAGCATGAGTTAATAAAATTTATTAGAATTGCAAGAATGATCTTATTGGAAACTTAAAATGACACATTATGTTACACATAAGTATATACATAAACAAAGTGTAATATAAAAAATTTTAATGTTAATTTCTAGTTATGGAATCAGTTAGGTTCAGTCTTCCTGGTCTAAAAATATCTTTCTTTACTATAACAGTGAAACAGACTACCTGGCAACCTCATTACAAAAGTACAGCTATATCAATATAAAATGTCATAGCTATGTCTAAATCAGATTACAATGTATCTCTGTAATACCTCATAAATAAAGACACTTAAGTATGAATGAGATGTTTATCTACCTGATAGAAAAGCAAAATAGGTAGAGCACTGAATATCCCATCGTGGTTCCATTGATAAGTTCTGGTCACTGGTACAGTGTATTTGGGGTGAGGCCACAATTTTGGTCCGATTTTGATGAAACTTAAAATTTATGTTTATAGCATAAAGGTTGTGGGCCCGCTAGAAGTTTAAATATATCACCGTTACACATCAATAAAGGTTGAATTCGAATTTCGTGAAAATCCGGCCGAAACTGCAGGACAAAATGGCCGCTCCTTGTACGCAAATATTTTGAAAGTATGTACATGTAATACCAAGGTTGTGGATGCTTTAGAAGTTACAATTTTTATCTGATTTTGATGAAACTTGAAATATATGTTTATAATCCAAAGATCTTGGTTTCTTTCGATATTTGCGCATATTGGACCGTAACTTTTTGAATTATGGCCCCTGATTGTATGCAAAATCACGTTTTTAGCTTGTGGACTCTAGAGGTCACAATTTTTATCTGAAATTAAAAAACGTTTAAATGTAAGGCTAATACACCCTAATGATGGTTGAATACAAATTATGACCCCTGATTGTTTGAAAAATCACAGTTTAGCTTGTGGACCGGCTAGAAGTCACAATTTGTATTCAATTTTAAAAAAGTTTAAATGTATCACCGATACACATCAATGAAGGTTGAATTCGAATTTTGTGAAAATCCAGCCGAAACTTCCTGACAAAATGGCCGCTCCTTGTATGCAAATTGTAATACGAAGGTTGTGGACTCTCTAGAGGTCACAATTTTTGTCCGATTTTGATGAAACTTAAAATATACCTTAATATCCCAAAGATCTCATTCCCCGTTGATATTCGCGCATTTCAGACCATAACTTTTTGGATTACGGCCCCTGATTGTATGAAAAATCACATATTATTTTTTTTTTAAAGCTTGTTCTCTATCCATCTCTTGCAAAATGTGGGCGTATCATGCCTGGCAATCGCTGGTTGGGTGTGGTCTTAAACTGCTTGCTTAAATATTGATAAGAGTTATGTCCCTTTATCGTTGGTAAAATGTCTGACAAGAAAAATTTTGAAATCCCAATGCTGCATACTATCTGGTTTAGCTGCAAAAATCCAGGAAGTTAAATTTTTGACATTAAAGTAATTAATATGACAAATGTTCTTGTTATTAGTTTGCTAGTAATGTGTGGTATTGGGCAGTGTTTGTGTAAAGGTAAACATTGTTAAATCAGTGTCTACTTTCTTTTAAGTTGATGTATAGTGACAGGTCTGTACCTGTACCAATCAAATGTAAAATTAGAAAAGACAGATCAATTTATTTTAACATGCTAATGGAATTCAACAACAATATGGTGATTTCTCATGTAATCAAAGGTTACTATGTAAATAAAATCAACCTCAACAAATTTCTCCTTCAATTAAAAAAATAATAAGATGCTTTTAGTGACATTTTATACTGTGTGTTATTGATTGGGGAGGATAATTGAGGTTTCACTAACTCAAATAATCAGTTGACCTCAAATTTTCTATAGATCTTGGTCACACAAGGTTGGCATTTATTTATAGAATATAAAACAATTACTGTACAAATAGTGCTTGTATTATTGTTGATCTGGTTACTCATCATCTACATAATTTATTAATGTAATGTTTTACCATAATTATATATCTGCTTAATAGAGTTCAATTGCATTTAAGAGAGTCTCAAGTTTACATTGTTACAATATATTTCTCAATTATATCACAAAGAATCAAACTACATTTAGTTCACTATTGCATAATACCACAATGAAAGCACCTGAAATATTTTGAATTTGGATATCATATTAGCTATTTTATTGGTTTTACGTACTTGTAGACTTTTCCTTTTTCCCAATCTTATCCATATACCATTGGAATAAATATTGTTAAAGCCACTGATCATCATTTGCAAATTTTGATTTTGAAGAATGAACCTCTTAAAGGAATATCCATCCAAAGTGTTAGGCCTACAATTTTATAAACAAATCGGTATCCTCTATAGATTATATTAACTGGCCAGCGCCACCTATAAGCAATGGGTAAAATCTTTTGATGGCCCTCATTTTAATCCGATTGAATCAATGCTACTGTGATATAATAAAAAATAGATTTACATACATTTTAGTTTGGATTATACTGCTAATAAGTATATATTTTCTGAAAAAATGCACTATAACTATCGTCAATTTTTATACTGTCGTTTATTGCCGTCGCCTTCGTCCAATCGTCCATCCATCGTCCAAATTTCTTGTGAACACTCTACAGACTACATTTATCATCTGATTGTTTTGAAATTGATATATGTTGTTAAGATCAGTAAGATGAACAATCGTATTACTGTTAATTATGGCCCTTGTTTCATTTTGTTGAACCTTGTAAAGTTATCATCCGATCTGTATGAAATGTATATGTATCATTTAAATTAGTGAAATGAAGAAGTCATTTTGTTGAACCTTGTAAAGTTATCATCCGATCTGTATGAAATGTATATGTATCATTTAAATTAGTGAAATGAAGAAGTCATATTGAATTTCAGCCATTTCCATTAATATCTTCTGGAGTTATGGCCCATGTTTCACTTTGTTACACCTTGTGAACGCTCTAACGACTAAAGTTATCATCTGATCTCTATGAAATGTATATGCATCATTTAAAATTTAAATTAGTGAAATGAAGAAGTCTATTGAATTTCATCCATTTCCATTAATTTCTTCTGGAGTTATGGCCCTTGTTTAACTTTGTTGTACTTTATGAACACTCTAACGACCAAAGTTATCATCTGATCTGTATGAAATTTATGCACATGGTTTAAATTAGTGAAACGAAGAATCCTGTTGAATTTCAGCAATTTCCATAAATTACTTCTAGAGTTATGGCCCTTGTTTAACTTTGTTGAACCTTGTGAAAGCTCGAATGACAAAAGTTATCATCCGATCAGTATGAAATTTATATGCTTCATTCAAATTAGTGAAACGAAGAAGTCGATTGAATTTCAACAATTTCCGTCAATTACTTCTAGAGTTATGGTCCTTGTTTAACTTTGTTGACCCTTGTGAACGTTTGAATGGCAAAAGTTATCATCCGATCTAAATGAAATTTATATGCATTATTTAAATTAGTAAATTAAAAAGCCTGTTGAATTTCAACAATTTCTGTTAATTACTTCCAGAGTTAAGGCCCTTGTTTCAGTTTGTAAAACCTTGTTAACCCTCAAACGACAAAATTTATAATCTGATCTGTTTGAAATTGTCTTGTAAATGCTTCCAATTACCTACAAAAGAATAGATATGTGACAACCCTGGTCGACCACTCAAACAATTAAGCTGCTATGGGCATATGTTTCATTGCCTGGCAACCTATCTTTAAAAAAAAGCATTTCATGAAATGCTGGAAATATTTGCAAATTAATTCCATCCAAGTTTTGTACTTAGTTTTTGGATGCAAAATATTTATTGAATCTAATGTATAATGGATTAAACTTTCATTAAAACTATCTACTGGTATCTTGATCAGATTGTTATATACTATTTGGTTTGTTTTTGTATTAAATCTGTTTTGGATTAGGTTAGATTGATATTTAAATTCTTTGTTATGATTTGATTTTAACTATTTGGGTTAGATTTATGCTGGTACTGAAACCATTTTGAATTATAACTACCGGTATTACAATTTGATGTGTCAAAAATATTTAGATCAGTGTTTTTACGAATTTTCCATAATTATGTAAGGAAATCTAAACACTCTATATGGATGTTTTAGCAGATATTTTCCCGTTGCATTGGTTTTTATGATATAATTTATTATATACCCACATGACGTATTATGCCGTCACTCCTGTCCTTCCATTTTATCCATGTGTCCATTCACATTTTGTTTGTGGACACTACAGGTGACAATTTTTATCTAATTTTGACGAAACTTGAGGTATAGGTTTGTATCGCAAAGATATCGATTTCTATTGATATTGGCATGTATCAGACTGTAACTTTCTGGATAATGGCCACTGATGGTACAAAATTTTAGCTTGTTTACCCCCAAGAGGTCACAAATTTTATCCGATTTTAAAAACTGTTCAACTATATCACTGTTACACCATAATTATGGATAAGTTCCAAGTTTCGTGAAAATCAGACTGAGGATGGGGCAAAATATATTGTATTTTAATCTCTTTTTTTGTGTTTTTAAGATTGTTTTATTTTATGAGATTTTATAATTGTTATTTTTGTATTTTAGTTTTTTAGACAGAGTACATATAGTTAAAGAACCAGACTACACACCTACAGAACAGGTAAATATCAATATTTATACATAATTGAATATATAAATCACACTATTCTATTGTTGAATCCTGGTATTTGTCGAAGGTACTACTTGCACTTCTGGTAAGGAAAAAATCAAGGCCATTGAAAATTTGAAGATATTGCTTGGCATCGGGAAAAGGAAAAGTAGATTAAATAAGCAGCTAGTAGTTTGTAGTTCTACTCAATTGATTTATGAATTCTAAAACTGAAGATTGTACGAAATCAAATTTCAGACTCTACGGTTGGGAAAGTGTTGAGCAGAGTATGAATTGAATAAGGTTGTATGATAAATATAGATGCGTTTTAATTTACTATATTTTCAGGATATTCTACGATGTCGTGTTTTGACGTCTGGGATTTTTGAAACAAGGTTTACAGTTGATAAAGTTAATTTTCAGTATGTATTTCTTAAATCAAAGTTTTTAAATGCAATGAAATCCATTTTCCTCCATTTGTGCTTACATAACAAAATTGTGGACTAAAGTTTATGCATCTTGATTAACATGTGTGCAGTTTTAATTTGTTACCTTTTTGTTTGGGGGTTACCATGTCCAGTTACTTTAGAATTTTCAATTTAATGAATAGTGGAAGAATACATGAATTTTTTTAGCGATCACACAAGGTCACAAAATTACAAGTAGATACTTAGATACATAATATTTTGGAAAATTGAATGCAGTCATTAATTAATGTAAAAAATAAATCATAACATCTCTCTTTCAAAAAAAAAATAGAATTAAAATATATTTAATTTAAGTAAAACGTGTTTCAAGAATTATTACAAGACCAGATCTAGTTATTATAAGTAGTAGCACATTGTTACAAATATTTTTAGTTAATATTTTTATATGTAGGAAGATTATAACATTTATTAGTAAACAGAGAGTTGAATGACCTGTATGTGATAATCAACTAGTGGTAGATATGATGATATACTGAAAACACTAGTGTTAGAAAACTAATAAATGAAATAATCCTGTGTCCAGTCAACACAGAACTTCTGTTTACTTTAGTCTATAGAAAATTATATCCTTGTAAACATAGATATTGTAATAGATTCTACATAAATTATAGTGATAAACTTTCTAATCTCATTAATCATACACATTTTGATAGGATTTAGATATTGAGGCTTTGCAAAAATGTACTTATCTTGCTGTTAATAGGATTAAAACTTTCTGTAAATGGGACAGATTAGTTTTATTTAATTCTTAGTTATGTAATCTTTTTTTGTATTAAAAATATATTAGAAGTCAAGTTACAAGTAGAACCCTGGTTGTGTTACAAGTAGAACCCTTAAGGTTTTGTTACATAATTTATTATGTCATGATGATAATACTGGTAATGCTATTTGGTTTGTTGATAATACCCTAATGCCCGGATGTTGAATTAAAATATACATAATTTGGAGGTAAACAAGGACATTCAATAGATTATATAGATTGTCTATTTCAAAACTACACAGATCATCATTAGCTCTTATCCGATTGTCTTTAAATTAATACACAGTGTTTAAGGTCATGAGATGAAGAAGCCTATGGATTTTCAGCGATTTTCAATATTTACTGCCAGAGTTATGGCCCTTTATCACTTCAAAAAACCTCGTGGTCGCTCTAGAGGCTAAAGTTAATATCCAATTGACTTAAATTTATACACAGTGTTTAAGGTCATGAGACAAAAGGCCTATTGATTTTCAGCAATTTCAGATAATTACTACCAGAGTTATGGCCCTTGATCACTTTCAAAAATCTTGTTATAAATATGTTATAAATGTTTCATTACCGACAAGTAAAAGTATGTGACAACTCTTGTTGACTACCCGGATGATTTAGCTGCTGTGGGCGTATATTTCATTGCCTGGCAACCTACCCTTTAGCTTGTTCTCTATCCATCTCTTGCAAAATGTGAATATATTTGTCTTAGAATGATAAACATATTACACTCATTTCTGGGACTGTTTTGCAATTTTTGCACTTTCTATACTTTTTCTGTCAAATGTCTCAGATTGCCATTATAAATCATTGAAGTAGGGTAAAACGTAAAATTATTGTTAGCTTGATGTTACTCTAGGATATCACTATAACACTTGATGTTGGTGTCTACTGACTACACAACCCCAAGACCCATATATAAATATATATTATATACCCTTGTCTTGAGCCAAGCTGACCCACCTGTATACTGAAACCCACGGAATGTGCAGTGTCAGTGTAATATGATAATTGTATCCTATGAATGTATTTTTATACGTTCGCAATGTGATTGTATGTTGCCATCGCCCCTGTCCATCCATCGTCCACGATTTCTTGTGAACACTTCTACAGGCTACATTTATCATCTGATTGTTTTGAAATTAGGGTTTTACACTGCTTAGCTTGTGTGAAACACAATTGTTTTTGTTTGCATTATTATTAAGCTTTCATATTTTATATGAGCGCTTTTTGTTTTTGTAAAGGCTATTAATATAATTTTTTTTGATTTTTTTTTGTTATTTTTCCACAAACCTTATCTCAGAATATAACCATGGGATCTTTCTGAAATTTTGACCTACCCCCCCACCCCCCACCTCAGTACTAGCTAAGAAATTACTGATCCATTCATAAAATATGAAGTCTATCAATCCGGAAGTGCCACTATCTTGAAACGTGAAAAATCCCTAACAATTTTGCGATATGGGAATTACATTTTCTGAATCCTTGAAGGAATGCCTAAAAAATGTTCAGAGAAAAATTTTGATTTAGGTCAACTGATGGTCACCATTTTGGATTGCATATGAAAAATTGTGAAAAATCTACATTAACAGGCTTGTAAATAAAGACAATAGGCCATAGTTTGTTGTATCCATCTCGTATTTAAGAAATGAATAAATTTCTGGGTAGCCGGGATCATAGTCAAATTTTTGGTATTTCAAAATTTCGAATTTCACCTTTGATGTTTTTCGTGCCATTAACGGCTTGGAAATACTCGGAATAGGCCGTCTTTTCTTGAATTCGTCTCCTATTTCCGATATTAATACATTTCTTCTTAGCATCCTTCCACGAAATAGTGGTGGCTATGGAATGAATAGGTTTTCAAAACGTTTTACGAAACCAAAATTTACTGATGAAAAAATTGACCTACATAGCTGTAACTTTGTAATTTTGTTATCTAATTTTTATACGCCCACATTGAAATGTAGTCGTATATTGTCATTGCCCCCCGTCCGTTGGTCCAGCGTCCACAAGCTTGTGGACGCTCTAGAGGCTAAAGTTAATATCCGATTGACTTTAAATTTATACACAGTGTTTAATGTCATGAGACGAAGAAGCCTATTGATATTCAGTGATTTCCGATAATTACTGCCAGAGTTGTGGCCCTTGATCACTTTGAAAAATCTTGAGGACGCTCTAGAGGCTTAAGTTAATATCTGATGGACTTTAAATTTATACACAGTGTTGAAGACCATGAGACGAAGCAGTCTAATTTTTTTTCAGCGAATTACGATAATTACTGCCAGAGTTATAGCCCTTGATCACTTCAAAAAATCTTGTGGATACTCATACACAGTGTTTGAGGTCATGAGACGAAGAATCCTGTTCATTTTCAACGATTTCCGATGATTACTGCCAAAGTTATGGCCCTTGATCACTTTGAAAAATCTTGTGGACGCTCTAGAGACTAAAGTTATTATCCCATTGACTTCAGATTAATATAGAGTTTAAGGTCTCGAGACGAACAAGTATATTGATTTTCAATGAATTTTGATAACTTGAACAACTAAATCCATGATATTAAATGTTTCGTATACTAAATGTTAGCATGGGGCACAACTTTATAAAAAACGAACAAATTCTAATGATATTCTGATAATTACTCAATTAGTTGTTACTCTTAATCAGATTTTAGTGTGTTATAAATTTTTCATTACCGAAAAAAGTAAAAATATGTGATAAGTCTTGTTGACGATTTAGCTGCTGTGGGCGTATGTTTCGTTGCCTGGCAACCTATCTATTTTGTCAATTTTTTACCTGTTTTCAAACAAATCACATTTTCGGTAACCCTGTATCTTTTCCATGACGATGGCTATCTCACATTTTTCAATGTCGAATATTCGTCTGTGTGGTTTAATGGTCGAGAGCAAGACATTAAGTAATATATTGATACTGCATGAGGCGTTAGCTATTTTTCCATCCAATATCAGCGGCTTAAATGAATTGAGGTATCATTGAGTGGCCCGATGAATGGACTGTCATATGATACCCAATTCATGACGCCTGTATCTCGACCACTGCTCCAGCAGTTTTTCTTAAACTTTCTCTATTGAGAATCCCTTCGGTAGTGTTGTCCACAAAGACGTCCAAGAGGACTTTGAAATAACTGGAATAGGAAAGAAAAAGGGATTAAAAATCGAAAAAAGACGAAAAACCACAATCTGATTAAAATACAGATCTATATTTTGTTTTGTATTTTTTTATTCTTTCAATGGCCTACACTACATGAAGATCTGACCAGTTGTTGCGATAGGTCATGTCAGAGGTCATACGAGCGGCTTTTGACCCTATGATGTCAGGCATTTGATTAACCAATCAGTATTGATGTTTCTAGTGGATTATCCAGGATTCCGTGCACCTCACGCCAAAAGGGTCCAAAAAGGGATTCAATCTTTGAAAAAGTTGAAAAATCATTAAATTATTGAAAATGCTCTTTTTTTTTTTTAAACTGCTCAAAGGATGTTTCTGAAACTTCTGGTACAGGAAGTTAAGTTCCTATACCACTTGTTAAATCTATCCTGACAATGATCTGTAAACCAGAAGTAGTCGAAAAAAAATATCCGATATTTTGAAAAAATAGGTGCTCTTGCAAAAATCGCAATTTCTCTGTCAGGTGTCACTGGATCAAAACAACTAAAGTATCGTTTGGTAGCTCGATGAATGGGCTATTGTATGACACTCTTCCTGTCTGCTTCCTGAAAGCCGGTTCAGTGCTGCTTGCAGGTCTAGCTCTTATTATTTTTATTTTTCCACTTTGCTTATATCTCAGCAACTGCTTGTCGTTTTGCAACTTGAGCAGTTGCAGAGAAATAGGCATTTTAACATCAATCACTTTTCATGTTTCTTTTGCCTGTAAAAGTTTCAATTATTATTCGATTTTCAATTTTATTTCACCATTTGATGTCTTATGCCAATTATGACTAGGTCAAACCATTTTAACATTTTCACTCACCGGAAATGGCATCATTTGGGCAAAAACTACATTTTTAGCCTTAAAAACCAATATTTTATTAAAATGAGTCGTATTTATTACTTGTTTATAATTAAGATATTTGATTTCAATCAAGAAATAGAATGAACCCATGCGTTCATATATATATCACAAAGTAGTTTCTAACTTGTTCAGTTGCCGACAAATAGACAATTTTCTACAAGTCACTTTTTAAGGTTTTTGGTCCATAAAAGTATCAATTATTATTTGATTTTCATAAAATTTTCACCGTGTGATGCCTAATGCTGTTTACAATTTCGTAAAACTAATTTAACATTTTAATTATCAACGGAAATACCGGTAATGTCATTTTGGCAAAAACTGTATTTTTAGCCTCCAAAACAATTATTTGTTTAAGTAAGTAATATTCATTATTCTTATAAAAATATGATATTTGATTTCAGTGGACAAATAATGAATCAATACAATCGTATAGATATCGAAAAAGTGTTTCTATTGTCTTTCCTTGCGGATAAATAACCAATTTTGTCAGGATCACTTTTTAAGTTTTTTTTCGAATTTTAATAAGGTTTAAAAAGAGTTAATTCTGTTTAAATTTTAATTAATTTTCTGTCATGCAAAGGACAATCAAAGTAGTTATTTCTGTAATCCAATTTAAATATTTTGTTGATAATGGAAGTGATGTCATTGTGCCGAGACTTGGTTGTATAAATAGAACTGATATTGCTGGATTTATTGGCTAATTCTGTGTTCATTGTTACCGGAAGTGACATCAGTTCAAGAGTAACATGGCACCGGTGAAACCCGTCATCACTGCATCGCAGTTCTAGTTGTTTTTTTATGTTGTTTACATTAGTGAGATGAAGAGGCCTATCGAATTTCAATAATTTCCGTTGATTTCTTCTGGATTTATGGCCCTGGTTTCACTTTGTTGGACCTTGTGAACACTAACGAGAACAGTAATCCTCTGATCTGTATGAAATTTACATGCATCATTTAAAATTAGTAAAACAAATATACCTATTTAATTTGCATTAATTACTTTTACACTGCTACCGGCCCTTACACGCAAACAAATTATTAAATTAAAATTGAATCAAATGTTGGTCCCGAATTACCTAGTTTGTGTCAAGTGGATGTTAAACCCCATTTCTCCCTCTCTCTAGAGTTATGGCCCTTGTTTCATTTTGTTGAACCATGTGAACACTCAAACGATAAAAGTTATCATCCTCTCTGTATAAAAAATTTATGTATTATTTATATTAGTGAAACGAATAAGCCTATTCAATGTCAGCAATTTTTGTTAACTACTTCTAGAGTTATGGCCCTTGTTTTACATTGTTGAATCTTGTGGACGTTTGAACAACAAAAGTTATCTGATCTGTCATGGATATGATCCTGTGGGACTGACAAGGAAAGTGACCTAGTTGTATGTACAATTTGACAGTTGTAAATCAGATATTTCAGTCAGGGCAAAATTCTCCCCCCTCATATTTAATAAGTAATCACAGAAATTAACTCCATTCCATGTTAGTGTTATTATTTTATTTGTATATATCTTTCAGTATGTTTGATGTTGGTGGGCAGAGAGATGAGAGAAGAAAATGGATTCAGTGTTTTAATGATGTGACAGCCATTATATTTGTAACTGCTTGTAGTGGCTATAATTTAGTGTTACGAGAAGACCCTAGCCAAAACCGACTCCGTGAATCTTTAGATCTTTTTAGAAGCATCTGGAATAACAGGTTATTTTTTATTTTTGTCGTTAAATTAGGTGATCTGATAAGGAGGGGACCAGGTTAATTTCAGAGAGGTTTTCCCAAAGCCAAATCACTGTCATCTTTGATATGCATTTAGTAATTGAACATATTAACACAAGGTACAATTTTATGGATACACAATTACAGAGTTTAGTACTTTGCAACATTTCGACAAGGATACTCTCGTCTTTATCAAGCAAATGATACAAATATGTAAATAGGAGACATATACAGAATATGTGTTGCATATCCTCGTTGAAATGTTGCATAGTACTAAACTCAGTAATTGTGTATCCATAAAATTATACCTTGTGCTAATCACTGTCATCTTCAAAATTTTATTGATTTGGCAAAAACTGTTTTCAAATGATTTCCATTGTCAAAACAACATTGTACAAATTTATATCGTAATTTTCGGCTTCCAAAATGACTTTTGACTATCATAACACTGAATATGGTCTGTTATGAGAAAGTATAATGGTGTGTGAACACCAAGGATGATTTTTGATCAGACGAATACTCTTTGGCTTGTGGTACATAATGCTATGTTCCGTCTGGTATGTGTCTACCATCAACCAACCATCCTGGTTCCTAAATATATTTCCAAATGCTCACCTTGATAGCTAAGAATGTCTGTTGATGTATACCACTCATAATATTGCCGATTATGAATTCCTATGCACGACATACAACTGTCGACAGAACGACCATGTGACGGAAAATATGCTTTATGAAAATGGTGTTCCAAAACATCAAATTCAAAACATTGGTTTTGGATTCTAAGCAAGATGGCTGAAACAAAACTTAAACTGCAGATTATAAGGAAATGCACCGAAAATTTATTCATTAAAGTGAAAGTAATTGAATTAAAGAGAGATTCTCTAATTGATACATATATTTTGTTTTTGCATTTTTCAGATGGCTACGTACTATATCTGTAATTCTCTTCCTGAATAAACAGGATTTGTTAGCACAAAAAGTCTCGGGAGGTAGATCAAGAATAGAGGAATATTTTCCTGATTATGCCCGGTACCAGACGCCGCCCGATGGTAAATTACACCATATTTTTTTTGATTAAATCATTGAATCAATTATAACTGAACTTATTATTGCTGTTTTCCAAATAGTCGGTTACTGTTTGTATAAACATTCGGTAATTTACATGTAGAGACATGTCATTCTGCAATAGAATGATTCATATAATCTATTATATACAGTTCAGTAGTTTTTATTAACATTTTGAGGTGTAATGAATGTAATGGATCCTGTTGCGATTAGGTGTGGGTAGAAGTCTGTTGAGATGCACAAATTAAACTGGGTTAAACTCCCAGGTGATGTTAAACCAGTTTAACATGGGCATCTGAATGTAAATGTGGGACAAATAAACCAGTTTAAAAAAGAACAGCTCTGTACCTGTCTTCAAGAAGGCTTTTCTTAAAAGCTGTCTTATCTTGGCCGTCGGAGGGGTCAACTTAAAATCATCGGCTCCAGCTTGCTTTGGGCATGCACAGTAAGCTATCTGCCTAGCAAAATGATGACATATGCCTATCGTAATTAACTATATCCTTTAACCAACAATAGTTAAACTGATTTGACTAATTATAATACCTGTGAACACAACACTATCCTGCCTTAATATCCCTGGCGATTCTCAACTAGTTTACATATAAGTATTTTAATGAGCTATTAGACAGGAGACTGGTTGAAAAGACTGTGTTTGTATATTGAAGTAAATTATGATTATAACGTATCAATATTATGTTTATAGCTGTTAGTGAGGCAGGTGATGATCCTGAAGTTGTTCGCGCCAAGTATTTTATTAGAGATGAATTTTTGGTAAGTCTGTATTTTCTTACAATAATATTCCCAACAGATTGTGACTTGATAAACATTGTTTCATTATACCACTCAATTAGCATACTGTTTAAGTTTTTGACCATATTTGTCTTCTAACTTCCGGGTACTTTCAAGTTGATTTGTGAACAACTGTTTCAAGGGGGATAATTTCAAAATTATGTTTGGCTTGGTGTTTTATCTCCCGTTGTTTTTAGTGGGTTAATTTGACCTCGTGTTCTAAAATGATGTTATGTAAATCTAACATCGGCCATATAATGGATGACAAAATCTTGTGTTCTCAAAGTTCTCTGTTTTCGTCCAACACAACATAAACCATATTTTATGGAGTGTTTCAGACTGTTGTCAGTATTTTATGAGACAAGTTATAAATAAAATTTGATACACTGTGCAGGTTGTATGCATCAGGGGGGTGAAGTTACAATGAAAATAGATGACCAAAATTATGACTGATCGTTTCAGTGATGCCGATTGATTGACAAGTTTACCTTTTTAATCCACAATTTTATCTTGACCCTGCCAGGTCTATTCTTACAAATTCAACTCTTTAACGGCAATTCTGCATTTATTTTCCTTGTAGACTGATCTTGAACTTGGATGTAGTTTCGCTCAAAAACATTTGTTGGAGTGAACATTTTGGGAGTAAGCCTCGTTTCTACTGTTTCAACAGCAAACTTTTTCACTTCATACATTTTTTAAAAAACACAATAAACAATGCAGAGGCAAATATTTTCAACCATAGGAACTAGTAATTTTTCTGATTTCTGTTCATTTTCCCACAAATTTATTTGGAAAAAAGCCAATGAAAAACTTCTCTCTTTCAGTATGATCTTTTTTTGATCACTACACCAATGGTAGTCTACCATTATGCAGTAATACGATGCTTGTCACACAATAGAATTCACAGAGATGAAATTAACTTAGTGAACAATGGCCTTAACATTGTTGGGAGCCATGCTGGCCAGTGCCTTCAAGTGAACCATGCTATATTGAGATGCCAGTGTTATTGTGCTTAGTTATAAACCATATAGATTCTAATATTTGTAATTATTTTATATTTACAGAGAATCAGTACAGCTAGTGGTGAAGGGCGACATTACTGCTACCCTCACTTCACATGTGCTGTAGATACAGAAAATATCCGGCGTGTTTTCAACGACTGCCGAGACATAATTCAGAGAATGCATCTACGTCAATACGAACTACTGTGATTAGTGGCCTGCGACAGGCTATGGCCTCTTATTTTACATCGTGTAAAGTTATTGTACCTGTTTATCGAGACTGAATATTTCTCTAGAGTAAAAAACAGGAGAAAGCAATTAGTGCGGTACTTTTGCTTCAGACAGGACTAATCTAAGCCTTGTCAAATAAGAGTAACTGACACAAACAGACTTCACATTGTACTTATACAAATCCACATTGTTATTCTGTTGATAAGGTATTTATTTACCAAGTTGTATCGGTAACCAGGACTTTCCCTGCCTGTAAACAAATAAGATGGCGGCTCTGTGATTTTTCAAACTTGAATGTGTTAATATATCGGTCCACCTGTTACAGAACAACATAATACAGTGTGGGATCCGACCCAAGTCATGGAAACAAACTGTTAATCAAAGGTCTCCAGAACTACTAAAATGGATTACACTTGTGGAGCTGTATATGAGAATAAGTGTGTATAATATATACACTTTTTATGTACGTTTTGTTGCTCCTAATGTGAATATTATATCAATGTACCGTACAGCGGTACCGTCTAATTATTGTTATATATGCTGGCTGTGTGCAGGTCATCTACTGACACCAGAAACTGTATGACCAGAATAATTGACATAATTGTAATTAGTTCATGCATTATTTCCTGTATTACACCTGTACAGTGCTGTAAATCCCCCCCCCCCCCATTCTTCCCTTTCTGCCCTTCCCCCCTCCTCCGTTCCTTCCCATACTTTATTTTTATGGTAGTTTCATCTCTCCATTGCTGATAACAAGACAAAAAATAATGTCCTATTTGAAAAAAATAAAACCCAACAAAATGGTAGGACAATTTTAAATGTTTATAATAAACCGTACTTAAAATAGAGAAATGGAAAAAACTAGCCCGAAATGGAAATTTTTTCTTTAAATTCAGAAATTTGTATGTATGTTGGAAATTGAGTTGTGAGTTACCTGTAATGATGTAGAGATGATTCCCACCTGTTTTTCTGCCTGCCTACTGTTGATATATAAACTATGATTCAATTATCTCTCGTTGAATGAAGGCTGCAATTGTCAAAATCTTCTATTATTATTATTATTATTATTATTAATTATGGGTGATTGTCCTTGTAAGAATCATTATCGGGCCAATACACCAGTTGCTCACAAACTTATAGTCATTATTATATGATTCTTGGTTTTTATTTAAAATAAAAGAAAATTTGTACATATCTTGTGCTATTATGATGGCCTGACTATTGAAAGGAGATAGTGAATGGTGATTTTATTCCTTACAATATTCAGACTCCTGCAAATGGAATTATTTATTTCATTTTGAATTTTTAACAGTTTTTCTATTGTTTTTTTTTTCTTTCCATTATTGTCTAAAACTGTTATGTGGCTGCTGAGTTCAGTTTCAAACCAAGTTTTAATATTTGGATCTGGTGCGCTTCAGTTGTTCTTGTTACTATGTGTTCACTGTTTATTCACTTACATTATAAATCTACCTACAATCTACTGATGCATTTTATCACATGCTGATTAACGCAGGGTTATAAATTATAATAAAATATATGTAAGTTATAATAATAATACTATAAAGGGGTTTTTTTTTTTCATTTTCATTCAAAATGAATTGCATCTAAAATGAATTGTTTAATTGATTAATTATCATTGGTTTTAATCTTTTGTTTCAAATTAAGAAGATATCCAAGCTTTAAAAAATGCCAAAAATCTGGAACATTTTTATATTCTTTCGAAAGTTCTCCCTTTGGAAAACACAATGATACATTGCATTTCTCCAAGAACTATCCTTACAATTAAATAATATATTTCATTAGGAACCAATTTTTATTGTTAGGGATTGTATAGAAAAAAGCAAATATTATTATTTAATTTTTTGTTATGTATAGTGACTTTGTATTTTTTTATGATTAGTTTTCTGATTGCTATATTAATAATTAGATAATTGCACCCTTTCATCCATGATAGAAGAACTTGAACATTACTGTTTAAATATGGCTACTTGTAGCCTACATAATAGTTTATATAATATATTTTTCAAAGAAAAACCTGCGTGTGTAGCTTTCTATATTTAAGTTACAAAACTAATATAAAAACTTGACCAATGATCAACAAAAACTGACTTTCTAAAACTTTATGCACCATAAAAAAAATAAGAATCTCAAAGATATCCTTAATTCATTTGATTTTTTAAAAAGTTTAATTGAAGTAGTAATATAATAACATTGTGTAAACTATAATTAATAATTTATGTATATTAATTCTCAGCCATATGATATGTAAGAAATAATATTGATATATTTAATTTTGACTTTTCTGTGTTACTGATTTGAAACCTCAGTTAAGCCAAGTTCTTTTCATCTAATCGTTATGTAAATTAATCGTACTATAATTAATATTTTTATTTTATACCTGTATCCAGAAGTTATAATTACTGTGTTTAATGATTGTCAACCTTTATCCAGTCTTTGTATTACAACTTACAATGAAACCACTTAAAGACAGTGAGTTGGTGGGAAAATAATACCATTTGGCAAAATATTTTCTAAAATCTGTACATGTAGCTAAAGTTCTGTATTAATGTTCAAACTAAAATTCTATGTATTGATAGAAATTTTAATACTGAATGAAATTTTTAGGGTAAAATGTAATGAAATATGTAATGTTCGGGCGATTTTAAGTATGCATTCATTTATAAACAGGATCTCTGTAGAAATTTGAAATGTGTTAAGAGAAAGATTAAATTGATCAAATTTTCAATTAATGTTTTATAATAAAACATTCAGGTTGAAATTCTTGTCAAGTGTTTAACACTATTCTCATTTAAAATCTTTGCAATCCTGTATTTGACCAAATATGTGTCTATACTCTCCTAAATTTCAGCAAAAGTTGTAATTTAATAAGCCATGTCAGTTTTATTTCTGCTTGAAAAGAGTTATGTCACTAGGATGTAATTCTAAAATTACATATTGTGAATTATTTCATTTGTTGAAACAGTGGATGTGTACTGTTTAGAGTATGTACATTTATTTGGTTGAATATGGTTATGATCAAACTGAGTGATTATTATTTTTAAATAGACGTTAAGAAATTGTATGTCACAAGTAATATTGAGTTTAATCTGTTTATATATTTCCGTCACATTTAATTTGGCATATTCCTCAAACTTTCTCTCACATATTATTATCTGTTTTTGCGATTGTAATCTCGTGTTTAAATTTGAAAATGATGCTCATGTATATTGATAAAAAGATATGAATGCCCTGAATTCATGTCATATAATGCTTGCTCTAATGTTTCTAAAACTAAAGGATAACTATTTTAATTGTTGTTGCTTGCAAGTTTTTAATAATGATGCGTGACCCATTCTTCATTTGCTGTACTATTTTATCATTTTGATACAAATTTGCGTTGGCCATGTTAGAATTGATTTCATCTTTACTATACTAAATGTGGTTTATATTTTTAAAAATTTGTTTTGTCCATATCATTCATTTAAGTAATTGATATACATTATACTATAAGCTATTATTAATACATCATTTCAAATTATAAAATTATCACCCGCAGGATTAGTCTATTAGTTCATTTTAAATGTACAATACAAAATGCTGTGCAAAGAAAGTGATACAATGTAAAGCCTTATTCAGTTCTGCAATAGGAAAGCATAAGGGCTGGGACAGTCCATTTATACAGGAGGGATTCGGTAGCAGTTTGATACATGGATTAGGTCATTCTTTGCTAGCTTTTGCACCTAAAAAATAAAAAAAAAACATTTTTTTTAAAGAAACCGTGGTCTGTATCCTTGCTCATTTTAATAATAAGTCCAAATACTAATCTGATTTGATATTAAATTTTTTTATTGAAATCTACTTGCATAATAGAACTGTTGTAATTTAATATTAATGAAAGAATGAATATGTATGAAACTGCATGTTGGATGTATTGTCCCAGACCTAGATATGTACCAAGTAACTAAAGAAGTTTGAAACTTGTGTAGTAATGATATAACTTGCTTAGCAAGGTTTCTTTAAGTGTCTTATACCAGTAGTCCATTGAAATACTTCAATTTATTTTTCTTTTCTTTCTGTTCATTTTTAGTTCCAGTTATTTGTAAAATTTAACCGAAGTAATGTTTATTTTATCCTAGAGCTACTTAAAATAGGGTTGTATTTACTAACCAAACCTTGTTTAATAAATCCATTATCCTATTTCAGAACTGAAATTATTACAATCAAATTTTAATTTCTTGCAGCCCGTGTCACTTGTTGAGTATTTTTCAATGTAACCAATATATCTGTCATATAGTAACAATCTCCTTCACTGTAACAGAAAGGGTAGAGAAAATTTCGTAATAAAATGATGATGCAGACAAAGGAATTGACATAATTTTCTTGATTTTCTTGCTAGATTGGATGAAAGACTGGTGTTTTTTTTCTGGCAGAAAGTAGCATGGGTCTGTATCCGTATCCTGATTTAATCATATTTACTGTTGTCAGTACCAAGGGTTTTATCAACTGCTAGAATATTTTCTATGGGTTTTTTCTCAAATAAAGAAAAGGTCAAAGATTTATGATTAATCAAATTTGATATAAAGCAAAATACAAAGTTAAAAGATCAAGTTGTCTTCTCTTGACTTTCCCATAAATTGTACTTTTGTGATGGAGGATGATGGTGAAAATTGATAGCTATGTGAACTTTAGAAACAAATCAGAAGTGATGTTGAGTGGTCTTAAAGAAGAAATATACTTTCTAATCCAGAAAGAATTTTCCTCGTGCCAGTAGAATAAAATTATGCTTTCTAAATAGATCTACTGAGCAATTCATATATAATTTGTTGAGTTAATTATCGGTGTAGAAACATAAAATACATAGATGATACTGATAAGGTAATGAATGTATCTTTCCATGCTCAACATATTTAACTTCAAAGATAAGGTGACACTGTGACAGTTTTCCCAAAGCTGTGCTAACAGTCTTTTTGGACTGCAGAGATAGTGAGCTACTGAGCGAAGAAGATACCCATTTATGCAAAAGTTCAAAAACAGACTGTCAATCATATATAAACCAAGTTCACTGGGATTTTCCCCCTTGTCAGTGATACAGGATAGAGGACCTGACAAGGACAGTTGTATAGTTGTTTGGATGGGACAAAAAATTGAGGTCCTGTGTACACATAAAAGATCCCTTGTTAGTTGGAATTCGATATAAGAGTATTGATCAACAGTACCTGTATTTTTTTCCTGTACAATTTACCTTTGAGAGACATAAACTGTCTGTCTAGTGTCTATACACTGCAATATCTGTATAAACCACATTAAATTGCTGTGTATTTCTTAATAACACCCGTTGAATATACATTATAACCAATCCTTCAGAATACAAATATAATATATTTTTTTCTTTTATTTATCTGAATTTCTTAAAACCCCTGGTGAATAAACATTCTAAGTTAAACCCATTTTTCATTAGACGTCTCTTTGGGAAATATAAATGTGTATTCCCAGTACCACCCCCTGCCACACACACACCACCTCACCCTATACCCTACACTAGGTAAAGATACAATTTAAATGTATGCATATGACAATGCTGCTTCAAAAAATGCACAAACAGGATAGGAAATGGCAGGAATGTAAATATCTCCAATGGCAATAGTGATATTTATATCATTTAGCCAACATAAAAGACAAAGAAATTAAGCTATCTATTATACCTAACCTAAACATAACAGAGAGGAGCCAAATAAGTCCAGTTTCATCTATAAATGAATTTGTCGATTTATTACCTGATAGTCCTAGAAGAGTTATCTCCACCTAGTTTCTCCCCAAGTCTGAATACAATGGCTGTTTTGTGAGTTCATTCATTTTTAAAAAAGGATTCTGAATTCGAAGTTGTAGACTTACGCTAACCCCCTCTGGTGTAATATTGCAGGTAATTCATTATTTTTCTGGCCATTTTCAATTCAAGATATTAACTTCCAAGATTTTTTGAAACCTAGAAAATATTTTTAGATACTTTCATACACCAGTTAGTTCATTTTTTGCCGGGTAAAATTTTAAAATTTTAATGCTATATAAATATTACCCATAAAATACTGAAAATGAAACAAAGTCAATATTTCGTTTAAAATGTTGATTTTAGGCATGATATGTAAGACATAAGAATGTAGAAATAATTAAGAATTGCTTTAAATTGTAGAATATTAATTGTCCAATTTCATCTTCCATAATAGTTATGTGCATAAAATGCTTTTGTCCTAGGGCAGCAGCACATGTTTCTGGCTTAATTTGAAAATATTCAATGTAACATTATTTAAATGAGATTCCCTTTCAAAAATGTGCTAGCTATGTGAACTCCTCAAATGACAGGTGTTACCAAAATTTCCAACAACTTCGAAAGACATCCACCACTACTGGCACTATGTAAATAGAGTGATACTTTGGAAGTGGTACCAAATGACATCCACCAGTACTCATATCTATAGGTAAATAGAGTGATACTCTGGAAGTGATACCAAATGTTCCAAGAACTTTAAAAGACATTCACCACAACTCATAGGGAAAATGAGTGATACTCTGGGCATGATTTCAGTAGAGGAGATCAAGTGGCCAACTAAAATGTTTAATATCAATTGATGCATTGCAAATCTTTTGTCAGGTAGGATAATGTTGGGGAAGGGTGTGTAGGTGGTAATACTTATTTCATCATTAAGTGTATGAAAGTATATATACTATACATGCACCATGTACCTTGTTGAAAACTTGCCAAATTGTGCTAATAATTTATTGTGTCCATGTGCTAGTAAATATAAAGAAGGGGCATTAAATTACATAAATTGCCAACCCTAAAGAAATAATTTGTGCGAGAGAGATGAACCGTCTACTATTTCCGCATCACTGATTGCATCCTCCATCTTTTCTCCAATAATACATGTGCATGTGACTAAACAAGTATTTAACAAATGCCTACAAATATATATATACTCTTCAAAAAAAGTAGGGGATATTCAGAAACAATACAAAACTGTGGAAATGCACTGCTGTTTTTATTAGAGGTAACCAGTGTATGTTAATAACAGGCCAATTGCCTACACATGAACATAAACAGTTCATATGGGCAGCTTATCTGACGGCCCCATTTCACTCACCGAACACGTCTCCCGATCAAATTAAACGTAACACACTAAAGCAAAGATACGCTAAACAGTAACCCTTATGCAAGAACCAATAGGAAAGCAAACATGGATAGGATAAACCAGAGAGCAGTTTTCATCAACCCTTCCTTGAAGTGTCAAATTTGACAATGAACCCCTCCCACGTGTATGTCGCTATTGCGTGTCGCATGTGCAGCTCAGTGGTTCTGTTGGAGTGATAAGTTCTTCATCTGTGAACATACTCTCAAAGCATGTCAAGTGTCCATAAATATTTATCATATCACAACCTGCATAGGTATTTGCATTTCAATATCCCCTACTTTTTTTGAAGAATATATAAAGAAAGATTCAAGGGAATAAAATAGGTTTTTATTTTGTTTACATTATGATTTTATGATACAAGAACAAATATAAAATGAGTAAAGTCAATAGAACATAATATTTACGATAATCTGTATTTTACTGCAACACAAAGAAAGCTATTCTATTTGCGTATTGCATCTTAATAGAACAATAATAAGTACATGCAAATCTTTGAATTTAATAATAAGTACATGTACATGTATATCTAATAATTTAATAGTAAATACGGTACATGCACATCTTATAATGTAATAATAAGTACATGTACATCTGATATATGTAATAATAAGTACATGTACATCTTATAATGTAATATTAAATACATGTAAATTTTAGCTGTATTATAATACTATACATTACAAAGAAAAATCACCAATTTCGGATGCGGGGTTAACCAGATACACCAGAAATATTCACTCTGCATCCCTAAGTGGGGTTGGGTGGTATAAAAGCACAAGGTTTGTCTGTCACTGCTTTTCTTTGCTCATGTGTTAGTTATATCCCTTGATCTCACTGGGGAGTGTTTTCGTGAACAATAATACAACATCGAACATGGCGACCTGTGAAAATCTAATCTAAACTATCTGTTTATTGCATAGTATTATTTATAATTACACTGGACATTATGCTGCGATAACTTTTTTGGTGATTTACATATACGTGTAAGATATTCACAAGAAGACGTGGCAATAATAATAATAATACGAAGAAGACAATAGTGTGTGTAGGTGATTTTGTTTTGGTTGAAAATTTCAGGTTGGGGTAAGCCATCTTTTTGCATCTTTTGTTTTAGAGTAAAGCTTAGGCTATATTGTAGTAGACGCAGTTCATATAGTTATTTACAGGTTTACCTGATCAGACATTTTGCAATCTTCAATAATTTGGTATACTGTTGGGAAAAAATAGAGCAATCGGTGAAGCGTGTGTAGAGAATAAAACCGGATGTGTACAGCTGGCTGACAAGAAACAAACTGGAAGTGAGATCGGCTAACCTTTCCAGGTCATAAGCCTCCATGTCCGCCATATTATTTCATAAATTAGAAACAAGTATGGCGCTTGGGGGGCGTTAACTTTTTTTTATTTAATTATTTCGGTATTTTTGTAACCAGAGTTCAGCTTTAAATATAATTATTACAATTTCTTTTTAAATGTAATCAATAGAATAAGTTTCTTAGGGTATGTTTTCAAATTGACCTTTATGTAATTAGGATTACATACGTCGAGGAAATATATCATTTATTAATATCTTTAATTACATATATTTCAGTTGTATTCACAAGAATAATCAGATTTTTGAATTTAGTCATAAGCCAAAATCGTAATCTGGATTCCCTTCTCTGTAAGATGTTAAGAAACGCATATGACTTTCTTTATCAAACATGGTGGCTTTGACAGCTGGTAACTGATACATTGTTTTAACCCAGGCTGACAGGTTAGGGAACTCAGCTTCTGTTAGTTTAAAACCCTTTTCTTCAAGCAACTCCAATCTTTCAAACCATGGCCAAAGTGCAAAGTCAACCATACAAGGTTTATTGTTTCCTATAAAACAGAAGTACATTAGTAATGATTATGAAATTTAACTGCATATAGATTAGTCTTGATACAGTAGCTATAAGAAAGTAACATATCCTGATTAAAGGATAAACAAACATTTTCTATATTTCAGTTTATCAAAAATATGGACTGGGCAGTTTTCTTCAGATAGTAATCTAAACCGTAGTAGATTATTGACACACACAAAAAAATCTCATTCAGATGCTATCTCCTCCATGATGATGGTCAAAATACCAGCAAGACCATACATGGCAATGTGAATTCAACAGGAAGTAATGGAAACATTAGATGACCATAACTTATGGACTTATAATTTAATAATATTTGAACCAATATGCTTTTTGCCCAGACCTCTGTCCAGCACCACAGCGTGCTAATTGTACTTCATATATGTGGTTCACAGTACATCAGAACATATCTTGTGGTAATAGTGATATCAAAAGTGCAACCATAGTTTTATAATCACCAATAAATAGAGAGAGTGACACAGAAATGGGGTTTAACGTCCACTCGACACAAACTAGCTCATATCAGGACTAACATATGGTTCAATTTTATTTCAATAATTCGCTTGTGCATATTTTATCATTGGGAGGAAACCGGAGGACCCAGAGAAAACCCGTGAGGTTGGACAGGCAACCCTACTCCTTGTCATGTACAACCGGGGAATCGAAACCACGCCAACTGACTCAATGACAGAACTTATGATACAGCGCGCACGTGCTGACCATTCCGCCATACAAAATAAACACTCACACTACTAAAATTAGCAGCAGTGGACGACGAATTAATTAACAATATCACCCACACTACAACAACTAAATAACCCGCTGGTGTTTATTTCCTTGATAACTCTGCCACTGATGACACATTTAATTTATATTATTATAGGCAATATTTCATTTGTTTTAATGGATTTAGCCCCCTTTTGAATTTGGCTATGATATACTGATTAGATGGCCATAACTTACGTTACGCCTGATAGTACTTCATTGTTTTACTAGATTTAGCTCCCTTTGAACTTGGCTAATAAATACTGATTTATTGATTTATACCTCCAAAATATTTTCCTCTTTTTGAAAGCTCTTCTTCATATCTTCCTAAGCTTTTTTTGAATTCCTCAAAGTCTTCACCATTTCTTGCAATTTTATAAAACTGCCCAACTGCCTAGAATTTTAAAAAAGAATATATACACAATGTATCTTCGAAACACAAGGGTAAATTGAACTCCCCGAATTGAATTGCTTTCATGAATGACACAATATTTCTGTTTTAAATGAGGAATCCCTGATATATTCAAGTGAATAAGACTGGTTAATTTGTGGTTAAAGACTCTTGCAAACCTATCATTGGCTACAATACAAGAACTGTAGTAAATATACCTTAATAATGTGGTTCCTTAAATTTGTATTAAAATGTGCAACATGTTGATACAAGGATTAAAACATACACGTTATCCAGGTTTAATAAAAAGGAGGGTTAATGTGGTAACTTTAATCAGCATTTCAAAAAGATACATATCTCTGAGATTATCAAGTAACTTACCTTTCCAAAAGTATCAATAAGCATCTGATCTCGTGCTTTTTGATAAGGATCAGATGGTGTTAATTTGTCACCAGGATAAACATCATCTAAATATTGACTACAGATGTTAGATTCATATATAACTTTATCATCAATCTCTAATGTTGGAACCAAACCAAATGGATTTCTCTCCAAAAACCATTCTGGTTTCTTCACTAAGTGAACATTGACATTTTCATGGCTGAAATATTAGATAACAGATATATAATGCAGAAATTCCTCAACAGTATTTGCTGCCTAGTGGCAAGGTGGTCTGAAACATTGTAGATCTTCAGTCAATTCGAACAGTATTATCACTGCATTTGTGAGTTCATTCCCTGTGCCTGACAATGTCTGTGACAGGTTTAGCTCCTTTAAAACATTTTACACATATCATTATTGCTCTTTCAGTAATCAAGAGTAAATCTACATATCTTTAATAAATAGCTCTCAGGATCTTTGGCGTGGTTTCCCCTGGTCAGTGATGCAGGGCAGAGGGCCTGACAAGGACAACTGTCTAGTCGTTCCTATGGGACGAAAAACCGAGGTCCTGTGTACAAATTGGCGTGCACGTAAAAGATCCCGTGGCAGTTGGAATTCGATATAAGAGTAGGCCGTAGCTCCGCTGCCCGGGCAAAATTTCCCTCATAGCACACTGTATGGCGTTTGCCGTCTTCATTAGCCCAGTTTAGGCGCAAAACAGTAGGACTTAAACCCCATTTCATTTCATTTCATTTAACTAAAATAAGCTATCTATTGTCATCATATATAAGATCTACTAACGGAATGTTTTTGTGTTGTAGAACAAGTCTTGTTCTCTGAGCAAAAGGACAGAATCTCATACTGTAAATTCTAAGAACTCCAGTTTCCAGTGGTGGATAAGCCGACCCTGAAAAATAATTTTATCATTCATTTATTTGTGTTAACAAATTAAATAAAAATGTACTGTTGCCAGATATGAATATAAACCCACCAGTATTATATATTTTTTTTTTTTGAAAGATGGCAAGAATATTATAGTATGTTCTAATATACAGATCAGTGAGAGACACTCACTAAATATCAATAAGAATCATCTTTGGCCCAATTTGGCAATTTAAGTTTTATTAATCCCAAAACAGCGATAGCATTGTGCTAAATGTGACATATTTGCCTTTTGAAAAAAAGCCAGATTGGTGCTTCAAATATATAATGACCTCAAAATTTCAAGAAGTTACTCTCCTGAGTCCTGTCAATGCTTTTGTATAAAAGTTCCCTCTCACATTTTTGGTGTCTTCGTACTTCGACTTGTTCCATTAATATACGGTGTGGGTCAGGGATATCGCGAACTTGTTATGTTATAATAATTGTTGGATACAAACCTGCTACATAAGATTTCTGCGACATTTTCACAAAGTTCAAAACTTGTTTAATCATAAACTGTTCTTCGGAGATATCACCAAGAAAATTTATTGCTTTATTGCTATCTATACAGGCATATATATATATATAGTTTACCTTTGAACCGTATCTTGAGTATCCAGACATGTATTATACAACATAAGAAAACCCCAGAAACCCGCAACGTAATACTTGTTATCAAAGACTTTATCAATATGGAAGCATAGTCGTGTAACTAATTTTGTTGTAGACTAGTCTTTTACCATCATGACTCGACACTTCCTAGAAATTAACATTGCGAAGCATTGATATCAAGTGATAATCAGTGTATACCATAAAGAAAATGTCGAATGAAAGCAAGCAAAGATTCTTCTTTTGAAGTGAAATGAAATGAGAGAGAGAGAGAGAAATGGGGTTTAACGTCCACTCAACACAGACTAGGGGTCTCTAGCAGTGGGAGGAAACCGGAGGACCCGGAGAAAACCCACGAGGTTAGGTTGAACAGGCGACCCTACTCCTTGCCACGTACAACCGGGGAATCGAAACCCCGCCAGTTGACTCAATGACAGACCGTATGATACAGCGCGCGCGTGCTAACAATTCGGCCATCCAACCCCCCGTGAAATGAAATAAAATGGGGTTTAACGTCCTAGTGTTTTGTTCCTATTGGGCCAATGAAAACAGGCATACGCATACAGTGTGCTATGCCCAGATTTTACCCAGACACTGACTCTACAGCCTACTCTTGTATTGAATTCCTACTGCCAAGGGGTCTTTTACGTGCACGCCAGTGTGTACACGAGGTTTGCGCCCCATCTAAACGACATATACGCTGTCCCTTGCCAGCGTCTCGCTTCTGCACCATTTACAAGGAGGATCCACGCCGGAAAATATTCGTATATATTCTAGTCATGTTTATTTTCTTTCTTTTTGTTGTGAGCTTACATTATTTGTAAATTATATATTGTAGGATCGGATTCTATTGCATTAGATATAGGTAGTGTGTTCGATTTAGGCCTCCTTAAACAGCAGTTATAGTGAACAAGGCATCGTTGTGTGGCCGAATGATTTAACGAGTATTTTAGATTATGCTGTCATTGAGTTCAGTAGCTTGGTTTCGATTCCCCGTTTATACTGACAAAATAGGGTTGCCTGTCGAGGTTTCTCAGGTTTACTCTCACTGCTAAAGACCCATACGCACTGGCAAATTATTGAAATAAAATAAAATTTAACCATACGTTAGTACCATAGGCGTACGGGGAAAATTTTGACTGGGGGGGGGGGGGGGGGGTGCCCAAAAAATGTAGTTAGGTTCTTAGTATGTTACATAATAATAATAATAATAATAATAACTTTATTTTCTTATAAAACTACAAATATACATATTATTTACAGACAAATAATCTAATAACGATGAAATAATGTTTTAAAACCAGCAAATAGCAAATAAAAGAACAAACAATCATATACACACTACTGTCCGAGAACCGACTATATTTCCGATCCGAATGCTGCTAAATATGCATTTAAAGTGATTCTGAGGAGTTTTTACCAAATAAAAAAAAGTTCAATTTTTATTTGAAGGCCCACGACAGGTTCTACAATATCTCTTTTGCGATGAATACGTTATTAATTTCTAAATCATCAATAAAAGATAACTAAATTTTATTTACATGTACTTGTAATATACACAACTAAAAACAGTTGTTTATGTAGCTGTAACTCGTGGTTTACTGTATACTCCAAACCATAGAGGGTTCGAGTCTTAAGATTTCTATTTTATTGCCTAACTATAGACACTCTGAATTTAAATTCGCTGTTAAATTGGACACATTCAAGAACACAACTTTTTTATACAACTTTTACAAAGTACAATTGTGTGCCCAAATTTTCCCAGCATTTTGTGCCCAAAATGGGGGGGGGGGGGCGGCCGCCCCCCAGCCCCCCCCCCCCCAGCTCGTACGCCTATGGTTAGTACCGAAATTACCTAGTACAAAATTACATGTACAAACAGACAGATTTTCCTCTTGCCTTTGGAATAAAATATATACTGGAATACGTTTCTGTTTAATGTAACTGAAATAGATCTATTAAGCTCGACATTTATAATGAGTTGAGTTGATTATCGATGCAAAATGATGATACTGATCTGGTAATATATCTTGCCATAGTCAACATAATATGCGATGAGGACACAGTGTAATAAAACTGTACAATCTTCTGACTAATCAAAGCTACATGCATCAATATTTACCAACAGCAGTTTTGTCAAAGCTATGGTAACAGTCTTTTCGGACTACAATGATATTATAATGACCTAACTTTGTGATGAAGATGATACTCTTTTATGCAAAGATTCGATAACAGACAGTAAACTCGCACATAAACCCCATTAAATTTATCTACTGTACAATATCTGTATTTTTATTCCCATACAAATCTGAAATTATGCCTCATACACAATATACCCGACACTTAACTGCTGCGGGGACTGTTAAATCCAACGGTATTTCTTAATAGCTCTTGGTGAATATTAAAACACAAATTATATGGAAAACAATCACTGAGTTTATTTCACACTACGTTTCAACAAGTTCCTCTTGTCGTTCTCAAGTAAATAATCTGAAACCAACAAAGGAACAATAAAAAGAACAGTCAGAAATAACAATATTTTAGTGTAAGTCCTTTAGGTAGTAACCCTCTATTCCTGCATCGCATCAGAAAAAACACATTATTCCTATCTTGTAAGTATTTACTCTCAATCTTACTAATTACACTAATACATTTAACTGCCTCGTCGCCATATTGACGTCTGATGAAATCCTTACACGGCATTTAGTAATTGAATATATAATATTAAAACACAATTTACATGGAAAACAATCACTGAGTTGATTTCACACTACGTTTCAGTGATTGTTTTCCATATGAATAGTGTTTTAATATTATATATTCAATTACTAAATGCCGTATAAGGATTTGGTGAATATACATTATAACTCATAGTCCATTTTTAATTAGATACAATAGCTCCGGAAAATATACATCTACCCCACACTAAACTGCTCAGGGCCGTAGCTAGCCCAAAATTGTTGGGGGCAAAGGCCTTTGGGGGCGCCGATGTACCTACACTTGACGGTTCACGGCGAACGGTACCGTAGACACACCTCCCTATGGAAAAGGATCTAGGGTGCCCCCCCCCCCCGAAAATTTTGGAAAATAGGGTTTGCATCTGAGGCTGAATTTGCGATATTAGCTTATTGTGATATATTGATATGAACATTATAAAAATTTGAAGGACGGGATACGACTTTAACGTACCTGTAATAATTTATGAGAAAAGCGAAAAGTTCGCAATCGGGTTAGAGTGCGATTTGTTTGAATTTTGAAGATTATCACGCCGTTTTCAGCGCCCAATTCATTCGTGGGCGCCTTACCAATCTTACTCGACATTATAGGCGCCCTACCAATTTTTATGGGCTTCCATGATGTCGTCGTGGGCGATCCACCAATCTCGGCATTATGGGCGCCCCTCCGGATGAGGCACCCCACCAATCATGCTGTTTTGGGCGCCCCATTGATCAAGTCGTGGGCGCCCAACCAATCTTACTCGGCATTATGCATTATGTGCGACCCGACAATCATATATTGTTATTATAACGCGCCCCACCAATCATGTCATTATAGGTGCCCCTCCGGGATATGTCACCCCACAAATCAAGCTGTTTTGGGCACCCCATCAATCACAATCAAGTTGTGGTGTTATTCGTGTGAGTCATTATGGGGCGCCTCACCATTTCGGGGGCACCTCGTATATAACGACATAATTGGCGAGGCGCCCATAAAACCAAGTGACATTGGTTGGGTGCCCACGACGAGATTGGCGGGGCACCCAACCAATGTCACTCGGCTTTATGTAGTGGCCATATAGATATGGGCATGTTGGTCGTTGGCTTCTTATTGCGTTCAATGGAAAGGGCGCCGAAGGCGCCCATTGGGGAAGACGATTTTTTCCCCAATGCGCCGAATTTTTAAAGGGTTGGGGGGGGGGGGGGGTCAGCTGCCCCCTTTGCCCCCCCCCCCGCTAGCTACGGACCTGCTGCTGCTGCTGCTAGTTCCAGTGTATTTCCTAGAAAGTCCCCTCAAATATACGTGATAAGCCTTTTTGATTATTCAATATATCTCATGAAATTTACATATTATACCCCACACTTCAGAATTGAAAGAGTTTAAAAGTATGCTCCTTCAGGAATTAATGCATTAAAAGAAAATGACATAGCTGGACTGTAATCTCCAATGATGATATTTATATCATTTGACCAACATACATGTAAAAGTCAAAGGCTGAGACATTTTTTACAGCCCAACGCTGTTTATTTGGCCACAGATCACTAATGATTTCCCCATTGACTTTAATGTTAATTCTCGTCTCTTAGACCGGCTCTAACTTTTCCCAAATTTTCGTTGGGTAGAACGCCTTCTACCACAGATGGAGCAACATGTAGCAACTTCTTGCTCAAAAGCACATATGAGGTTCACCATGGAAAACTTGAGATACACAAACTGGAAGCAAAGATAAAAAAACCATACAATTTTCCGCCCCACATTTCAACCTGACCAACCTCTCAACTCCTGTATCCTTCCGCTTCAAAATCATGAATATTCACCAAAACCTGGCAAAAAATGTATCTTCAACCTCTTTTCTTCGATTCTACACCAAAAAGTCAACAAAAATCGCCATAAAAAGGGGGGAAAAGGGAAAGGGAGAGAAAGACTAAATATAATTTCCACATTCAATTCGTTATTTGGTGAGCTGTGTCTCTGCCTAGGCCACATAAATGACGGTTATAACTCATGTGACTTTATTTACTCTTATTTTTTTTAAAAAGAATTCTGAATTGAATTGATCCAACTGAATGACGAAGGCTATTCCTCTCCAGACCCCTTTACTTCAACCAAATACCAATTGAATGTGGGGGGTTGGATGGCTGAATGGTTAGCGTGCGCGCGCTGTATCATAAAGTCTGTCATTGAGTCAACTGGCGTGGTTTCGAATCCCCGGTTGTACGTGACAAGGAGTAGGGTCGCCTGTCCAACCTCGTGGGTTTTCTCCGGGTCCTCCGGTTTCCTCCCACTGCTAAAGACCCTTACGCGCAAGCGAATTATTGAAATAAAATTTAAAAACCATATGTTAGTCCCGAAATGACCTAGTTTGTGTCGAGTGGACGTTAAACCCCATTTCTCTCTCTCTCTCTCTCCAATTGAATGTGATTTGCACTCCATTTGTTTTTTTATTCGATGTACTAGTAATTATAATAAAAGGTCATCTTTCACTTTGTTCATTGTTGGGGCCTTAAATGACATAGGCCTAATGATAATGCCATCTCTAAAAAAATAATTGTGGTTGGGCCTATTTTTTTATTACGTACGAATTTGAATATTTTGTTGACACGTGATTTTTGTGTGTGGTCTAAAAAATGCCCCCTTAAATACCGATAAAAATTTTTTTTGAAATCCCATCACTGGGGTGGGGGATCATACAAATATATATATATATATATATATATATATATATATATATATATATATAGACAGATTCAAGGACAAAAAATAGGTTTTTATTATGTTTTTATAAAAAGAGAAGAGTAAATATAGCATAATAAAATATCTACAATGTTTTGAAATTGACTTGCAACACCAATTTCTGATGAGGGGTTTACAAGTAATATCCCCTTTTCATCCCTAAAGAAGTCTTTGTAAACACACCTACAACATAAAATATATACACATGACTTTAGGGTTTGATAGATTTGATTCTTATGTTTAGTGGAATTTATTCTTTGTGTTCTTAGTTTAAAATATTGAGGAGTCACCTTTGTTCTAGAAGGTTTTGTTGTACATTTCACTTTGAGGTTGTTTATCAGGTTATCTAAATTAAAAATAAAGTTGTAATATAATACACAAGAATAATCAGACTTTTGAGTTGATTCATAAACCAAAATCGTAATCTGGATTCCCTTCTTTGTAAGATTTTATGAAACGCATATGACTTTCTCTATCAAACATGATGGCTTTGACAGCTGGTAACTGATACATTGTTTTAACCCAGGCTGACAGGTTAGGGAACTCAGCTTCTGTTAGTTTAAAACCCTTTTCTTCAAGTAACTCCAATCTTTCAAACCATGGCCAAAGTGCAAAGTCAACCATACACGGTTTATTGTTTCCTATAAAACAGAAGTACATTAGTAACGATTATGAAATTTAACTGCATATAGATTAGTCTTGATACAGTAGCTACAGGAAGGAGCATATCCTGATTAAAGGATTAACAAACATTTTCTAAATTTCATTTTATCAAAAATAAGGACTGGACAGTGTTCTTCAGATAGTAATGAAACAGTAGTACATGATTAAGACAATGAAATCTTGTTTAGATGCTATCTCGATCTGTATGATCATGGTGAAAAGACCAGTAAGACCCCAGAAATATGGTAGATGGCCACAACTTATGTTTCGTCTGATAGTTCCTCATTGTTTTACTAGATTTAGCTCCCTTTGAACTTGGCCAATATGATTATTGATAGGCTACATACCTCCAAAATATTTGCCTCTTTTTGAAAGCTCCTTGTCGTATCTTTCTAAACTTTTCTTGAATTCCTCAATGTCTTCACCAGTCCTTGAAATTTTATAATAAAGCCCAACTGCCTAGAATTTTAAAAAGGCATATATACACAATATTATATTCATCTTTGAAACAATGTTAAATTAAACTCTCCCAATTGAACCCTTACATTCATGACCCAATATCAATAACGCGGTTCCTTAAAATTTGTATTAAAATGTGCAACTTGTTGATACAAGGATTAAAATATACAAGTTATTCAGGTTTAATAAAAAAAAAGGGTTAGTGTGGTAACTTTAATCAGCATTTCAAAAAGATAAATATCTCTGAGATTATCAAGTAACTTACCTTTCCAAAAGTATCAATAAGCATCTGATCTCGTGCTTTTTGATAAGGATCAGATGGTGTTAATTTGTCACCAGGATAAACATCATCTAAATATTGACTACAGATGTTAGATTCATATATAACTTTATCATCAATCTCTAATGTTGGAACCAAACCAAATGGATTTCTCTCCAAAAACCATTCTGGTTTCTTCACTAATGAAACATTGACATTTTCATGGCTGAAATATTAGATAACAGATATATAATGCAGAAATTCCTCAACAGTATTTGCTGCCTAGTGGCAAGGTGGTCTGAAACATTGTAGATCTTCAGTCAATTCGAACAGTATTATCACTGCATTTGTGAGTTCATTCCCTGTGCCTGACAATGTCTGTGACAGGTTTAGCTCCTTTAAAACATTTTACACATATCATTATTGCTCTTTCAGTAATCAAGAGTAAATCTACATATCTTTAATAAATAGCTCTCAGGATCTTTGGCGTGGTTTCCCCTGGTCAGTGATGCAGGGCAGAGGGCCTGACAAGGACAACTGTCTAGTCGTTCCTATGGGACGAAAAACCGAGGTCCTGTGTACAAATTGGCGTGCACGTAAAAGATCCCGTGGCAGTTGGAATTCGATATAAGAGTAGGCCGTAGCTCCGCTGCCCGGGCAAAATTTCCCTCATAGCACACTGTATGGCGTTTGCCGTCTTCATTAGCCCAGTTTAGGCGCAAAACAGTAGGACTTAAACCTCATTTCATTTAACTAAAATAAGCTATCTATTGTCATCATATATAAGATCTACTAACGGAATGTTTTTGTGTTGTAGAACAAGTCTTGTTCTCTGAGCAAAAGAACAGAATCTCATACTGTAAATTCTAAGAACTCCAGTTTCCAATGGTGGATAAGCCGACCCTGAAAAATAATTTTATCATTCATTTATTTATGTTAACAAATTAAATAAAAATGTACTGTTGCCAGATAATGAATATAAACCCACCAGTATTATATATTTTTTTTTTTTTGAAAGATGGCAAGAACATTATAGAATGTTCTAATATACAGATCAGTGAGAGACACTCACTAAATATCAATAAGAATCATCTTTGGCCCAATTTGGCAATTTAAGTTTTATTAATCCCAAAACAGCGATAGCATTGTGCTAAATGTGACATATTTGCCTTTTGAAAAAAAGCCAGATTGGTGCTTCAAATATATAATGACCTCAAAATTTCAAGAAGTTACTCTCCTGAGTCCTGTCAATGCTTTTGTATAAAAGTTCCCTCTCACATTTGGCGCTATTGCACTTTCGTACCTCTACCAGTTCCCGTGGTCATAGGCACTTGAAATTTTCAGAGGATGTTAAGGGGGGCTAGCAATGACCACACACCAAATTTCAGCCAAATCGATAAATAACTTTTTATTTTACCGACCTTTTAATTTCTAACGAGAGAGAACTTCATCCGTTTGACGCCATTTGCTTTGTTTACTAATTAGACTTGAATAACAAGACACTAAGACGGAAACCGACTCGAATAACAAGACACTTAGACGGAAACCGACACACTGCACTAGCTGCCTAACACTGCAGTTCATAAAAATTAATATAATTTTCGTATACTTTAATTTTTGCGCGAAGCCACCATTTTCTATAAAATACTATTTGGTGTTGATCAGTGGATTGGCCTTTAGGTGTAAATATTGCCGTGACCTTGATTTTGACCTTGAGGCCAAACGTCCCATCCATCTCGGGCCCTTTGCGTTTATGCTTGCCGTGGCCTTATTTCTAACTGTATTATCAAAGTTAATGTTCGAGGTGAAAGCAGAGACGACGTCCTCCAGAAAAGATAATTGGGTCAAAGTCGTAGGTCAAGGTCATCTTACAGAAAACTAAACTCGGACTTTTCAAAGTCAGTTTTGGGACATTTGACCTTGACTTAAGGCCTTGACCTCGTAACCATTTTCGAAGGCTATCACCTTGGCTTGAACCATCGACGTTTACTTTGGTCCTGTCGCACACTGTTCGGTCAGAAAAGGGTCAAACGAAATGAAATGAAATGAAATGGGGTTTAACGTCCTACTGTTTTGCTCCGAACTGGGCTAATGAAGACGGGCATACGCCATACAGTGTGCTATGAGGGTAATTTTGCCCGGACAGCGGCACTACGGCCTACTCTTATATCGAATTCCAACTGTCAAGGGATCTTTTACGTGCACGCCAATGTGTACACGGGACCTCGGTTGTTCGTCTCATCCGAATGACTAGACAGCTGTCCTTGTCAGGCCCTCCGTCCTGCATCACTGACAAGGGGGAACCACGCCGGAAAGTCTGGATGAACTTTCTCGGCCAATGCAGGGATCGAACACCCGACCTCCAGGCTAGCGAGCCAGCGCCTTACCCACTTAGCCACCGTGATCCCCAAGGGTCAAACGCAAAGGGCCCGTGTCCGAAAGGAAGTCAATGGGCGTGGTCAATGTGAAAGGTTGTGGTGACCTCCACTAGTCACCTTTAATCATCCGTGACCTTGACTTTGACCTTGAGTCCAAACTTCCCATCCATCTCGGGCCCTTTTCGTTTATGCTTGCCGTGACCCTATTTCTTACTGTATTATCAAAGTTAATGCTTGAGGTGAAAGCAGAGACAACGTCCTTCAGAAAAGTTAAAAAGGTCAAAGTCGTAGGTCAAGGTCATGTTACAGAAAACTAAACTCAAACTTTTCAAAGTCAGTTTTGGGACATTTGACCTTGACTTACAACTTTGACCCCGTAACCATTTTCGAAGGCTATCAACTTGGCTTGAATCATGGGCGTTTACCTTGGTCCTGTCGCACACTGCTCGGTCAGAAAACGGTCAAACGCAGAGGGGCCCATGCCCGAAAGGAAGTCAATGGGCGTGGTCAATGTGAAAGTTCGTGGTGACCTCCACTAGTCACCTTTAACCATCCGTGTCCTCGACTTCGACCTTGAGTCCAAACTTCCCATCCATCTCGGGCCCTTTTCGTTTATGCTTGCCGTGACCCTATTTCTTACTGTATTATCAAAGTTAATGCTTGAGGTGAAAGCAGAGACAACGTCCTTCAGAAAAGATAAATGGGTCAAAGTCGTAGGTCAAGGTCATGTTACAGAAAACTGAACTAAAACTTTTCAAAGTCAGTTTTGGGACATTTGACCTTGACTTACGACCTTGATCCCATAACCATTTTCAAAGCCCATAATCTTGGCTTGAACCATCGACGTTTACCCTGGCCCTGTCGCACACTGCTCGGTCAGGAAACGGTCAAACGCAGAGGGGCCCGTGTCCGAAAGGAAGTCAAAGGGCGTGGTCAATGTGAAAGTTCCTGGTGACCTCCACTAGTCACCTTTAACCATCCGTGACCTTGACTTCGACCTTGAGTCCAAACTTCCCATCAATCTCGGGCCCTTTTCGTTTAAGCTTGCCGTGACCCTATTTCTTACTGTATTATCAAAGTTAATGCTTGAGGTGAAAGCAAAGACAACGTCCCTCAGAAAAGATAATTGGGTCAAAGTCGTAGGTCAAGGTCATGTTATAGAAAACTGAACTCAAACTTTTCAAGGTCAGTTTTGGGACATTTGACCTTGACTTACGAGCTTGACCCGTAACCATTTTCAAAGCCCATCATCTTGGCTTGAACCATCGACGTTTACCCTGGCCCTGTCCCAAAAATGACTTTGAAAAGTTTGAGTTTAGTTTTCTGTAACATGACCTTGACCTACGACTTTGACCCAATTATCTTTTCTGAATGACGCCGTCTCTGCTTTCACCTCGAACATTAACTTTGATAATACAGTAAGAAATAAGGTCACGGCACGCATAAACGCAAAGGGCCCGAGATGGATGGGAAGTTCGGACACTAGGTCAGGGTCAAGGTCACGGATGGTTAACGGTGACTAGTGGAGGTCACCACGACCTTTCACATTGACCACGCCCATTGACTTCCTTTCGGACACGGGCCCCTCTCCGTTTGACCCTTTTCTGACCGAGCAGTGTGTGACAGAACCAAGGTAAACGTCCATGATTCAAGCCAAGGTGATAGCCTTCGAAAACGGTTACGGGGTCAAGGTCGTAAGTCAAGGTCAAATGTCCCAAAAATGACTTTGAAAAGTTTGAGTTTAGTTTTCTGTAACATGACCTTGACCTACGACTTTGACCCAATTATCTTTTCTGAAAGACGTCGTCTCTGCTTTCACCTCGAACATTAACTTTGAAAATACAGTAAGAAATAAGGCCACGACAATCATAAACGCAAAGGCCCTGATATGGATGGGAAGTTAAGACTCAAGGTCAAAATCAAGGTCACGGCAATATTCACACCTAAAGGCCAATCCACTGATCAACACCAAATAGTATTTTATAGAACATGGTGGCTTCGCGCAAAAATTAAAGTATACGAAAATTATATTAATTTTTATGAACTGCAGAGATAGGCAGCTAGTGCAGTGTGTCGGTTTCCGTCTTAGTGTCTTGTTATTCGAGTCTAAATAGTAAACAAAGCAAATGGCGTCAAACAGATGAAGTTTTCTCTCGTTAGAAATTAAAAGGTCGGTAAAATAAAAATGTTATTGATCGATTCGGCTGAAATTTGGTGTGTGGTCATTGCTAGTCCCCCTTAACATCCTCTAATAATTTCAAGTTCCTACGACCACGGGAACTGGTTGGTGTCTTCGTACTTCGACTTGTTCCATTAATATACGGTGTGGGTCAGGGATATCGCGAACTTGTTATGTTATAATAATTGTTGGATACAAACCTGCTACATAAGATTTCTGCGACATTTTCACAAAGTTCAAAACTTGTTTAATCATAAACTGTTCTTCGGAGATATCACCAAGAAAATTTATTGCTTTATTGCTATCTATACAGGCATATATATATATATAGTTTACCTTTGAACCGTATCTTGAGTATCCAGACATGTATTATACAACATAAGAAAACCCCAGAAACCCGCAACGTAATACTTGTTATCAAAGACTTTATCAATATGGAAGCATAGTCGTGTAACTAATTTTGTTGTAGACTAGTCTTTTACCATCATGACTCGACACTTCCTAGAAATAAACATTGCGAAGCATTGATATCAAGTGATAATCAGTGTATACCATAAAGAAAATGTCGAATGAAAGCAAGCAAAGATTCTTCTTTTGAAGTGAAATGAAATGAGAGAGAGAGAGAGAAATGGGGTTTAACGTCCACTCAACACAGACTAGGTCATTTCGGGACCAGCACATGGTTCAATTTTATTTCAATAATTAGCTTGCGTGTAGGGGTCTCTAGCAGTGGGAGGAAACCGGAGGACCCGGAGAAAACCCACGAGGTTAGGTTGAACAGGCGACCCTACTCCTTGCCACGTACAACCGGGGAATCGAAACCCCGCCAGTTGACTCAATGACAGACCGTATGATACAGCGCGCGCGTGCTAACAATTCGGCCATCCAACCCCCCGTGAAATGAAATAAAATGGGGTTTAACGTCCTAGTGTTTTGTTCCTATTGGGCTAATGAAAACAGACATACGCATACAGTGTGCTATGCCCAGATTTTACCCAAACACTGACTCTACAGCCTACTCTTGTATTGAATTCCTACTGCCAAGGGGTCTTTTACGTGCACGCCAGTGTGTACACGAGGTTTGCGCCCCATCTAAACGACATATACGCTGTCCCTTGCCAGCGTCTCGGTTCTGCACCATTTACAAGGAGGATCCACGCCGGAAAATATTCGTATATATTCTAGTCATGTTTATTTTCTTTCTTTTTGTTGTGAGCTTACATTATTTGTAAATTATATATTGTAGGATCGGATTCTATTGCATTAGATATAGGTAGTGTGTTCGATTTAGGCCTCCTTAAACAGCAGTTATAGTGAACAAGGCATCGTTGTGTGGCCGAATGATTTAACGAGTATTTTAGATTATGCTGTCATTGAGTTCAGTAGCTTGGTTTCGATTCCCCGTTTATACTGACAAAATAGGGTTGCCTGTCGAGGTTTCTCAGGTTTACTCTCACTGCTAAAGACCCATACGCACTGGCAAATTATTGAAATAAAATAAAATTTAACCATACGTTAGTACCATAGGCGTACGGGGAAAATTTTGACTGGGGGGGGGGGGGGGGGGGTGCCCAAAAAATGTAGTTAGGTTCTTAGTATGTTACATAATAATAATAATAATAATAATAACTTTATTTTCTTATAAAACTACAAATATACATATTATTTACAGACAAATAATCTAATAACGATGAAATAATGTTTTAAAACCAGCAAATAGCAAATAAAAGAACAAACAATCATATACACACTACTGTCCGAGAACCGACTATATTTCCGATCCGAATGCTGCTAAATATGCATTTAAAGTGATTCTGAGGAGTTTTTACCAAATAAAAAAAAGTTCAATTTTTATTTGAAGGCCCACGACAGGTTCTACAATATCTCTTTTGCGATGAATACGTTATTAATTTCTAAATCATCAATAAAAGATAACTAAATTTTATTTACATGTACTTGTAATATACACAACTAAAAACAGTTGTTTATGTAGCTGTAACTCGTGGTTTACTGTATACTCCAAACCATAGAGGGTTCGAGTCTTAAGATTTCTATTTTATTGCCTAACTATAGACACTCTGAATTTAAATTCGCTGTTAAATTGGACACATTCAAGAACACAACTTTTTTATACAACTTTTACAAAGTACAATTGTGTGCCCAAATTTTCCCAGCATTTTGTGCCCAAAATGGGGGGGGGGGGGCGGCCCCCCCCCCCCCCAGCTCGTACGCCTATGGTTAGTACCGAAATTACCTAGTACAAAATTACATGTACAAACAGACAGATTTTCCTCTTGCCTTTGGAATAAAATATATACTGGAATACGTTTCTGTTTAATGTAACTGAAATAGATCTATTAAGCTCGACATTTATAATGAGTTGAGTTGATTATCGATGCAAAATGATGATACTGATCTGGTAATATATCTTGCCATAGTCAACATAATATGCGATGAGGACACAGTGTAATAAAACTGTACAATCTTCTGACTAATCAAAGCTACATGCATCAATATTTACCAACAGCAGTTTTGTCAAAGCTATGGTAACAGTCTTTTCGGACTACAATGATATTATAATGACCTAACTTTGTGATGAAGATGATACTCTTTTATGCAAAGATTCGATAACAGACAGTAAACTCGCACATAAACCCCATTAAATTTATCTACTGTACAATATCTGTATTTTTATTCCCATACAAATCTGAAATTATGCCTCATACACAATATACCCGACACTTAACTGCTGCGGGGACTGTTAAATCCAACGGTATTTCTTAATAGCTCTTGGTGAATATTAAAACACAAATTATATGGAAAACAATCACTGAGTTTATTTCACACTACGTTTCAACAAGTTACTCTTGTCGTTCTCAAGTAAATAATCTGAAACCAACAAAGGAACAATAAAAAGAAAAGTCAGAAATAACAATATTTTAGTGTAAGTCCTTTAGGTAGTAACCCTCTATTCCTGCATCGCATCAGAAAAAACACATTATTCCTATCTTGTAAGTATTTACTCTCAATCTTACTAATTACACTAATACATTTAACTGCCTCGTCGCCATATTGACGTCTGATGAAATCCTTACACGGCATTTAGTAATTGAATATATAATATTAAAACACAATTTACATGGAAAACAATCACTGAGTTGATTTCACACTACGTTTCAGTGATTGTTTTCCATATGAATAGTGTTTTAATATTATATATTCAATTACTAAATGCCGTATAAGGATTTGGTGAATATACATTATAACTCATAGTCCATTTTTAATTAGATACAATAGCTCCGGAAAATATACATCTACCCCACACTAAACTGCTCAGGGCCGTAGCTAGCCCAAAATTGTTGGGGGCAAAGGCCTTTGGGGGCGCCGATGTACCTACACTTGACGGTTCACGGCGAACGGTACCGTAGACACACCTCCCTATGGAAAAGGATCTAGGGTGCCCCCCCCCCCCCGAAAATTTTGGAAAATAGGGTTTGCATCTGAAAATGACGGACAATTTCAATTTTGAGGCTGAATTTGCGATATTAGCTTATTGTGATATATTGATATGAACATTATAAAAATTTGAAGGACGGGATACGACTTTAACGTACCTGTAATAATTTATGAGAAAAGCGAAAAGTTCGCAATCGGGTTAGAGTGCGATTTGTTTGAATTTTGAAGATTATCACGCCGTTTTCAGCGCCCAATTCATTCGTGGGCGCCTTACCAATCTTACTCGACATTATAGGCGCCCTACCAATTTTTATGGGCTTCCATGATGTCGTCGTGGGCGATCCACCAATCTCGGCATTATGGGCGCCCCTCCGGATGAGGCACCCCACCAATCATGCTGTTTTGGGCGCCCCATTGATCAAGTCGTGGGCGCCCAACCAATCTTACTCGGCATTATGCATTATGTGCGACCCGACAATCATATATTGTTATTATAACGCGCCCCACCAATCATGTCATTATAGGTGCCCCTCCGGGATATGTCACCCCACAAATCAAGCTGTTTTGGGCACCCCATCAATCACAATCAAGTTGTGGTGTTATTCGTGTGAGTCATTATGGGGCGCCTCACCATTTCGGGGGCACCTCGTATATAACGACATAATTGGCGAGGCGCCCATAAAACCAAGTGACATTGGTTGGGTGCCCACGACGAGATTGGCGGGGCACCCAACCAATGTCACTCGGCTTTATGTAGTGGCCATATAGATATGGGCATGTTGGTCGTTGGCTTCTTATTGCGTTCAATGGAAAGGGCGCCGAAGGCGCCCATTGGGGAAGACGATTTTTTCCCCAATGCGCCGAATTTTTAAAGGGTTGGGGGGGGGGGGTCAGCTGCCCCCTTTGCCCCCCCCCCCCCGCTAGCTACGGACCTGCTGCTGCTGCTGCTAGTTCCAGTGTATTTCCTAGAAAGTCCCCTCAAATATACGTGATAAGCCTTTTTGATTATTCAATATATCTCATGAAATTTACATATTATACCCCACACTTCAGAATTGAAAGAGTTTAAAAGTATGCTCCTTCAGGAATTAATGCATTAAAAGAAAATGACATAGCTGGACTGTAATCTCCAATGATGATATTTATATCATTTGACCAACATACATGTAAAAGTCAAAGGCTGAGACATTTTTTACAGCCCAACGCTGTTTATTTGGCCACAGATCACTAATGATTTCCCCATTGACTTTAATGTTAATTCTCGTCTCTTAGACCGGCTCTAACTTTTCCCAAATTTTCGTTGGGTAGAACGCCTTCTACCACAGATGGAGCAACATGTAGCAACTTCTTGCTCAAAAGCACATATGAGGTTCACCATGGAAAACTTGAGATACACAAACTGGAAGCAAAGATAAAAAAACCATACAATTTTCCGCCCCACATTTCAACCTGACCAACCTCTCAACTCCTGTATCCTTCCGCTTCAAAATCATGAATATTCACCAAAACCTGGCAAAAAATGTATCTTCAACCTCTTTTCTTCGATTCTACACCAAAAAGTCAACAAAAATCGCCATAAAAAGGGGGGAAAAGGGAAAGGGAGAGAAAGACTAAATATAATTTCCACATTCAATTCGTTATTTGGTGAGCTGTGTCTCTGCCTAGGCCACATAAATGACGGTTATAACTCATGTGACTTTATTTACTCTTATTTTTTTTAAAAAGAATTCTGAATTGAATTGATCCAACTGAATGACGAAGGCTATTCCTCTCCAGACCCCTTTACTTCAACCAAATACCAATTGAATGTGGGGGGTTGGATGGCTGAATGGTTAGCGTGCGCGCGCTGTATCATAAAGTCTGTCATTGAGTCAACTGGCGTGGTTTCGAATCCCCGGTTGTACGTGACAAGGAGTAGGGTCGCCTGTCCAACCTCGTGGGTTTTCTCCGGGTCCTCCGGTTTCCTCCCACTGCTAAAGACCCTTACGCGCAAGCGAATTATTGAAATAAAATTTAAAAACCATATGTTAGTCCCGAAATGACCTAGTTTGTGTCGAGTGGACGTTAAACCCCATTTCTCTCTCTCTCTCTCTCCAATTGAATGTGATTTGCACTCCATTTGTTTTTTTATTCGATGTACTAGTAATTATAATAAAAGGTCATCTTTCACTTTGTTCATTGTTGGGGCCTTAAATGACATAGGCCTAATGATAATGCCATCTCTAAAAAAATAATTGTGGTTGGGCCTATTTTTTTATTACGTACGAATTTGAATATTTTGTTGACACGTGATTTTTGTGTGTGGTCTAAAAAATGCCCCCTTAAATACCGATAAAAATTTTTTTTGAAATCCCATCACTGGGGTGGGGGATCATACAAATATATATATATATATATATATATATATATATATATATATATATATAGACAGATTCAAGGACAAAAAATAGGTTTTTATTATGTTTTTATAAAAAGAGAAGAGTAAATATAGCATAATAAAATATCTACAATGTTTTGAAATTGACTTGCAACACCAATTTCTGATGAGGGGTTTACAAGTAATATCCCCTTTTCATCCCTAAAGAAGTCTTTGTAAACACACCTACAACATAAAATATATACACATGACTTTAGGGTTTGATAGATTTGATTCTTATGTTTAGTGGAATTTATTCTTTGTGTTCTTAGTTTAAAATATTGAGGAGTCACCTTTGTTCTAGAAGGTTTTGTTGTACATTTCACTTTGAGGTTGTTTATCAGGTTATCTAAATTAAAAATAAAGTTGTAATATAATACACAAGAATAATCAGACTTTTGAGTTGATTCATAAACCAAAATCGTAATCTGGATTCCCTTCTTTGTAAGATTTTATGAAACGCATATGACTTTCTCTATCAAACATGATGGCTTTGACAGCTGGTAACTGATACATTGTTTTAACCCAGGCTGACAGGTTAGGGAACTCAGCTTCTGTTAGTTTAAAACCCTTTTCTTCAAGTAACTCCAATCTTTCAAACCATGGCCAAAGTGCAAAGTCAACCATACACGGTTTATTGTTTCCTATAAAACAGAAGTACATTAGTAACGATTATGAAATTTAACTGCATATAGATTAGTCTTGATACAGTAGCTACAGGAAGGAGCATATCCTGATTAAAGGATTAACAAACATTTTCTAAATTTCATTTTATCAAAAATAAGGACTGGACAGTGTTCTTCAGATAGTAATGAAACAGTAGTACATGATTAAGACAATGAAATCTTGTTTAGATGCTATCTCGATCTGTATGATCATGGTGAAAAGACCAGTAAGACCCCAGAAATATGGTAGATGGCCACAACTTATGTTTCGTCTGATAGTTCCTCATTGTTTTACTAGATTTAGCTCCCTTTGAACTTGGCCAATATGATTATTGATAGGCTACATACCTCCAAAATATTTGCCTCTTTTTGAAAGCTCCTTGTCGTATCTTTCTAAACTTTTCTTGAATTCCTCAATGTCTTCACCAGTCCTTGAAATTTTATAATAAAGCCCAACTGCCTAGAATTTTAAAAAGGCATATATACACAATATTATATTCATCTTTGAAACAATGTTAAATTAAACTCTCCCAATTGAACCCTTACATTCATGACCCAATATCAATAACGCGGTTCCTTAAAATTTGTATTAAAATGTGCAACTTGTTGATACAAGGATTAAAATATACAAGTTATTCAGGTTTAATAAAAAAAAAGGGTTAGTGTGGTAACTTTAATCAGCATTTCAAAAAGATAAATATCTCTGAGATTATCAAGTAACTTACCTTTCCAAAAGTATCAATAAGCATCTGATCTCGTGCTTTTTGATAAGGATCAGATGGTGTTAATTTGTCACCAGGATAAACATCATCTAAATATTGACTACAGATGTTAGATTCATATATAACTTTATCATCAATCTCTAATGTTGGAACCAAACCAAATGGATTTCTCTCCAAAAACCATTCTGGTTTCTTCACTAATGAAACATTGACATTTTCATGGCTGAAATATTAGATAACTGAAGATGTACTCATACAAGGGAAAGAATCAATGATGTAGAAATTTACTCAGTATTTTCTGTAATTTGATATTCAAGATGTGACAGAGTGTACATCATAAACAGTAGGCCTATTTGCTGCCAGGTGTCAAGGCGGTCCAAAACAGTGTAGATATTCGGGCTATTTTGCACAGTGTTATCATTGCAGTTCATTCCACAAACTGAATTACCAGGTATATGGGTTTCTGGTTTTTTTTTGTTATTCTGGACATTGAATGGAAATAATGATTTTAGTTGTACCTGAAAAATGACAGAATTAATTGGTAGGCCTACCTCACATACCTCATAATATCATTAAGGTCACAGAATCTTTAACTAAAATAGGCGATCTACTGTGATATTTATTGTCATCATATATAACAATACTTACGGAATGTTTTTGTGTTGTAAAACAAGTCTTGACCTCTGAGCAAAAGGACAGAATCTCATACTGTAAATTCTAAGAACTCCATTTTCCAATGGTGGATAAGCCGACCCTGCATAATGAATTAATCATTGATTTATTTGTACTAAAAGATTAATAAAAAACACCAGGTTGGGCGTAACGAATTTTAAGCCACCAGTATAATTTTGAAAGGAATCTAGAACAGCATAAACCAAAGATAAAGAAATGAAATGAAATGGGGTTTAACGCCCCACTGTTCTGCTCCTAACCTGGGCTAATGAAGACGGCATACGCCATACAGTGCGCTATGAGGGAAATTTTGCCCGGACAGCGGCACTACGGCCTACTCTTATATCGAATTCCAACTGCCAAGGGATCTTTTACGTGCACTCCAATGTGTACACGGGACCTCGGTTTTTCGTCCCATCCGAACGACTAGACAGCTGTCCTTGTCAGGCCCTCCGTCCTGCATCACTGACAAGGGGAAACCACGCTGGAAAATCGGGATGAAATTTCTCGGCCAATGCAAGGATCGAACACCCGACCTCCAGGCTAGCGAGCTAGCGTCTTACCCACTTAGCCATGTGCCCCCCCCCCCCAAAGATAAAGGATACCATACAGAAATAATTGAATGAATACTATTATAATATTGTTGTTAGACTGAAATAATCTTCTAAGAGAAACTGTATTGATTTCTTCATTTAAACCATAGGGGTGTGCATATTTTCAGAATATATCGGCTACACCTCCATAATTTAAACAAAACCTCAAAACTTTAATCTACCTATATACTTATTTGAAACAGTGCCCAACCCTATCAACATTCAAATCATAACTGAAGACTTATCTTTTCCATCCTTATGTTTAGTATTGTGTTGTAAAATGTAAACTTAAGACTCTTTGCATGCGCTAAGAGCACGCAGTCAGTGTGGAATAGCGCAAACCAAATGTTTATTATAAAACCATACAACACTAATACCGTTCAGACGTCCGTGTGTTCGTTCACAATTTGTTTGTCAACACTCTACTACATTACAGGTCACAATTTTATCTGATTTTGACGAAACTTGAAATATTGTTTTTTTAGTTTGTGAATTCTCTAGAGGTCAAAATTTTTATCCGATTTTAAAAACCGTTCAAATATATCACCACTCCACCATAATGTAGGTTGAATTTGAATTTTGGAAAAATCGAAACGAAACTGCCCGACAAAATGGCCGCTCTTTGTACGCAAATTGTGTAGAAGTATGTAATACGAAGTTTGTGGACTCTCTAGAGGTCACAATTTTTATCCAATTTTGATGAAACTTAAAACATATATATTATATCTTTATATCCAACAGATCTCAGACCCTTTCGATATTTGCGCATTTCAGACCATATGTTCTTTCTTTTTCATCGAAGGATTTACATTTTGAGAAAGCCAGATGCACATGACCCAAAAATATTGTAAAGTTACTTTTGTCAACGTTTCGAATATTTTTATACACCCACATTTTCATGTGGACGCATATTGTCGTCACCCCGTACGTCCACAATTTGTTTGTGGACACTCTACAGGTCACAATTTTTATCCGATTTTGACGAAACTTGAAATGTTGGTTTATCTCCAAAAGATCTCGGTTCCTTTCGATATTGGCATCTATCGGATCGAAACTTCCTGGTTTATGGTCCCTGACTGTTCGAAAAATCTCATTGAAGCTTGTGAACCCGCTAGAAGTCACAATTTATATCCAATTTTAAGAACCGTTTAATTAGGTCACCGTTACACGGTAAATAAAGGTTGAGTTCGAATTTCGTAAAAATCTAACAGAAACTGTCGGGGGAATTGACCGCTCATTTTACGCACATTGTGTAAAGGTATGTAATGCTAAGGTTGTGGACACCCTAGAAGTCACGATTTTTATCCGATTTTGATGAAACTTGAAATGTATGTTTATGACCCAAAGATCTTGGTTCCTTTCGATATTTGAACAAATCAGATTGTAACTTCCTGGATTATGGCCCCTGATTGATGAAACTTGAAATGTATGTTTATATCACAAAGATCTTGGATCCTCTCTATAATCACGCATATCGGAACGTAACTTCCTGGATTATGGCCTATAATTGTTGGAAAAAATAATGTTTTTAGCTTGTGGACCCTCTAGAAGTCACAATTTGTAATCTATTTTATAAACCATTAAATATATCACTGTAACACCTCAGTGAAGATTGAGTTTAAATTTCAAAATCCGACAGAAACTGCCGTACAAAATGGCCGATTCTTGTACGCAAATAGTCTAAAAGTATGTAATACCAAGGTTGTGGACGGAAAATCATATTTTTTTTAGCTTGTTCTCTATCCATCTCTTGCAAAATATGGGCGTATCCTGCCTGGCATCCGCTGGCTTTTTTTTTTTATCTGAAGCGGTAAAATCAGAAAGAGAAAAAATGTCCCCTTTCTTTCATATGTTTGGTATCTGTACCCTAATGTTTCTTCATACATAGACTAATTCGGATATATAACGGTAACGGATCGCGAACTTGTTATGTTATAATAATGATAGAATACAAACCTGTTACATAAGATTTCTGCGACATTTTCACAAAGTTCAAAACTTGTTTAAAAATAAACTGTCCTTCGGCTATATCATCAACAGAATGCCTTCATTGCTATCTAAGTCTGGCCTATATAATGCCCCTGAACCGTGTCTTGAGTATCCAGACAACATTTACAACACACAAAAAACAACCGTCATCTATGGACGCCTATAACTACCATTCATAATTTCTACTTTTCGCCTCTTCAGAACACGAAAGTCGAAAAGTCGAAAAGTAGAAGTTACAACAAAATGTGAGGCGACAAGACGGTATACAAGCCAAAATCAACTCGAAAATAGGAAATTAATAAATAACACACCGCGATAATAGCGCCCCCGTTTTTTCTTAATTTCTACTTTTCGACTTGCATTTTGGCTTGTATACCGTCTTGTCGACTTTCGACTTAGTCATATTTTTGTATTTATTGATGTCAGTAAGAAGGCGCCAACACGCTATACAAGCCAAAATGTAACTCGAAAAGTAGAAATTAGGAAATTAACACACTGCGCTATTAGCTACCTATGATCTGTCGTACTGTCGACTTTTCTACCTTTCTACTTTTCGCCTATCTTATAAAACAAAGTCATAGTCATCCCATCACTGTCTACAGTAATACTTGATATCAAAGGCTTCATCAAATGGAAGCATAGTTGCGTAACTAATTTTTTCGTAGAATATTCTTTTACTATATCATAATGACTCGACACTTTCTAAAAGTAAACAGCGAAGATAAATAGTAAGTGCAGGCGGACAAGTAATAACTGATAAAAATATGGAAGCATCGTTGTGTAAGAAATTTTCGTTGCAGAAAATATATCTTATAAAACAAAGTCAATGTATCAAAATTTCCAAATTAATATTGATAACCAATTTATACCATAAAGAAAATATTATGTCGAATAAAAGCAAGCAAAGTATACCCTTTCTTCTTTTTATTACATTAGCTGTTAAATAAGAAACCTTATCTCTCAGCACTCCGGGTTTCAAGATAAGAGATGGTACTATAATATAGTTTTACCTGGCAAAAATCCGATGCGAACCAGATCGGACTTCAGAAAGCAAAACTGTCAATTTTTTCGTCAAAACAACGATTGATTTATTGTTATTTATTACATTTCTTTCACATCCAACTACAAACCATCTCTTTTAAATCGAAGCGATAATTGCTGTTTTTTTTCCAGACATTTTAAATTGACCTCTAGTTACGTGATGAAGGCGGGGCTAAATATATGACGTCAACAACCACCAATCAAGATATGAAACCAATAAGTGTGCTGCGCATGACTAATGCGCCGTAATTATGTATGTCCGTATCAATTTTGATAAAAACAACGCTTGGTTAAATTTACACTATTTGCAGATAAACAAAAGTTGTTTCATTACTTTGAGCTGGGTATGTTTAATTGGGTCTTTGTATAAGATTAACTTATTTTTCAATCTGATTAAAACACAGACCCTATTCCGTTTCGTTTTTTATAGTTCTCAATTTCGTTTTAATTCTTACTACTATATGGTGGAACGCTAGATCGGCGATGGCCCTGCACAGTTTAGCGCATATGACGTCATATGTGGGTTAGGGTTAGGGTAAGGGTTAGGACCTGCAGATCTCAGATTCTCCGTTTTCATAGGATATGTACTCAGAAGACCGATTTTGAGTCAGCATGTACGCTGGTATTTAGCAAACTAAGAGAAAGGAGATACTCCAAACGCTATCTACGGCGTATAAAAAACAACACTCTAGCTGAGCTTGCCGCCAAAGAAACAAATAATATGCAATCAGAAGTTAAAACCAGAACTTGTGGCCATCCAAGATGTCAAACATGCAAAATCTTAAACATATCCGATCATTTCCATAACAAAACATCTGGCACACAATTCCCAATATCAGACCAACTTTCATGCAGTAGTTCAAACATAATTTATCTAATTTCATGCAGACAATGTGACAAGCAATACGTAGGGGAGACTAAAAATGCACTTAGGGAAAGAATTACGGTCACCGATCAGACATAGTCACCAAAAAAAACAAACCGGTTTCAATTCATTTCAACCAACCAAATCATGACATTTCTGATCTCATTGTCACGCCAATAGAAAAGACCAAGAGCTACTTTGAAACTAGAGAAGAAATGAAAACGTTTAAGATAACAAGACAAAAATTCTGGATTGACAAATTGAAAACAACAGCCCCCCCTAGGTTTGAATATTCATACGGCTAGCGCAATAGCCCCTTTTGTAGTTCCATTTAGCGCAACAGCAGCAAGTGCATCCAAAATCATCAGTGCATCCAAGAAAATCACCCGAAAATATTCACACAGAAACTTATAATTGCATATTCTAAAAATAAAAATCTGAACGACATCCTAGTACACAGTAAATTAGATTAAATAAGACCAGTCTCCACCCGAACCCAAAACAAACCATATATCAAATCCTATCCCTAACCGTTAGTAAATAAAATCAACTAGATATAAGAATCCCTAGCCCTAACCCGGTGATGTGGAACAAACCAGAATACCAGAAGCAATATCCAAGAAAGACCATCAGCGCCACCAACACCAAAAAAACAGTGAAATCGCCTTTGTATATAAATCTAATGTATTGTATGTATTTTCAATAAAACTAGGCAATATCACGAACTAATTTTTCATCATCCTTGGTCAGTGCTTATGTGGAGACTTAACCTCTCCCCCAAATTCTTAAACCTAACCCTAAGTACCTAAGCAATATAGCCCTACTTTCATTTTACATTATTGCATTACAATTTCATTGCCTGCCTGCATGCTTTATGTATTGCCCATCTCTAATTATAATGCACAATCATAGGCTTACAGCTAGTTGATGGAGAAATACGGTAATTATAGCTAATAGACATTATCTTTAGCTAAGAAGGACCTATGCCTATTAGGAACGTTAACCCTTTTGTTTCGGTGCCGGACTTCGAGAGTCAGACGTCGAGAGTTCTTGACATAGATTATTATTAACTAAAAAGACAGCACATTTAGTACCCAGTCGATAGTCCGGTGGCCGAAAGGTGGGGGGTGGGGACCAACAGTCCTAGAATTATATGTTTTATTGATATATAACATGGTCAGCATTTATGTCAACATAATCACATGTTCTCCCAATTGTAGACATTGGACCCCATATTTCGAAAACGCGCCTTCAAACGCCTAATCACCACCCAGATTCGGAATCTACGCAAAAAAAAAATGGCCTAGAAAAACTTGGTCTCATTCACAGCCCGAGTGGCAACCCCCCCCCCCCCTTCAGCCACGGAACTAGTGCCGGAAATGGGTGTCTGGTTGTCATTTTGCCATTACTTCCGTTTTCTTTGGGATGTTTTGCAAATTGACACAAAATGGGGTATAAAACGTTGTTTTCGTCCCCAAAAGTTCTGATATTTCTGCCTGGCAAATTCTTAACATTTTGTAAACCACAAAATCCCATCTCCATTTATTGCTTTTCAGTTAGATCAATGTTATTATATATCAATACAGCAATGTGAAACACCACACACTGCTAGTTTCTTATATTGATAGCTTCCACTATTGTGAAAATTTGGTAAAATTCGTAGAGTTTCAAAATCCAGTGATGCAAACTTAACACCCATTTTTTATCCCCAATTCAATAAAATGTGGACATAGAACTAGTTAATGCTCAGTCCATGATATGACGCCATGACGTCAACAGGCTCTTTTCCGCAATACAAAATTTTAAAATTAAAATGTATGTAAATGACGATGTGAGTCTCCCTCCCAGTTCCACCTACACGACTGTCAAGGTTGAACATCGATCGTTTGGTAGTAAAATTATAATGTGAATTCTGTAAAAATGCAAATTACGTCTCTATTAAGGGTTCGTGAAGATTAATTCGGACTAAATAGGGATCGCACTAGATAACAAACCTCATCTATCAACCCTCCGTGTTTCGAGTTTTTATTGTATATTTGTGACCACATCTCCAACTTTACCTGAGCAATAAGACTCCTTCCCAAACACAGAATTGAACCCAGGAAATGTTTTCAAAAACGCAACCTGACTTCTGAGATGGTATTGTGTTCTCCATGATTTTCATGTAACTCATGCTGCACGTGCTGTTTACCGTTACCAGTCCTATAAAATGCACCCACCATACCTGGTTGAACCATTCACACTACAACGTCAGCACCATGCCACGACCCATGACAGCTCAGAGGAACCAAGCGCTTGGAAGACTCGACACTGGCCACACTGCCCAAGCCGTTGCCAATCACTTCCAAGTCAATGTTCGGACCATCTACAGGCTTCAGCAACGCTTTCAGGCCATCCATAAACCACGGATGATCGCCCCCGAACTGGTAGACCAAGGGTTACCACAAGGCGACAAGACCGCCATGTTGTCCGACAGTGGGAACACACGGAAGACCCATCAGTGAACGTCTACAGTTTGCCCAATAACACCAGAACTGGCGACAGAAACAATGGAGAACTGTTCTGTTCACAGATGAGAGTCGGTATTGCGTATCAACTGCAGATGGCAGGACCAGAATATGGCGTCGACGTGGCCAGCGTTATTCTGACCAATGTGTCATGGAACGAGACTCGCGGAGAGGTCCAATCAGAATGGTTTGGGGGGGGGGGGGAATCGGCCTGAACCAGAGAGTGGGTCCTGTGGTGTTCCAAAATCTTGGTCCAGGGAGATGAGGCGGCATCACACCAGTGCGCTACATCGATCAAGCTCCCAGACTCCACGTCATACCACAAAACAACGTTTTCCAGCATGCCAACGCCCGTGCCCACACCGCCAGAATTGCTCGGGACATTCTACAGCAGAACGGTGTCAACGTTATGCACTGGCCAGCCCTTAGTCCGGACTTAAACCCGATTGAACATCTTTGGGATGAATTCAGAGGAGACTTAATAACGTCGTACCGAGTCCAAACACAGCCGATGGATTGTGCCAGGCTTTTCTGAGAGTGTGGTTCCAGGTGCCATGCACAGACGCTGCGCTGCTGTTATTGACACTCGCGGTGGACACACCAGATACTGATGTATAGACTGTGTACAGACTCTAAACCTACTCATAATGTCTTAGAATTGTGATGAATTAATCACTAATGTGTCAACATACTGTTCACAAAAAATTGCTTTGATCCATTTAGTAAGTCGTTTGATTAAAGTGCCTCTCTGATCTTGAAATTGTACTGACGTTTTTTTTTGTTTTTTTTGTTTTTTTTAGGGGGGGGGGGCTGCTGCTTTTTTTTGTTTTGTTTTTTTAGGGGGGGGGGGCTGCTGCTGTTTAGTATAGTTCCACGCAGCAAAGCCCAGCGCAAATCACATCGGGCTTCGGTAAGCAAAATTGACAATATTTTTCATCAAAACAACGATTGATTATTGTTATTTATAATATTTCTTCCACATTAAGCATATAATCCTACCAGAAACGGGTATAAATCATCGTATGTAAAATCCAAGCGTTAAGCCATTACTAGGAACGCCATTATTAAACTGGAGATCTATGACGGTGTATGTCGGATAATAACAATGCTTCATTAATTTAAACGCGAATATTTGAAGTAAGGCGATGGTTGTGGCACTACATTGGCCTCTGTGAGTTTAATTAGTCATAATAGTATAAATTTATCTTATTTTCAAGATGTTACATGCATTAATAAAGAAATTGAATTTGCCACTTGGAACTAAAGGCACCCAATCGTAGCTAAAAGCAAGCACATCAGTATATCTCAACGTTTTTAGCTACGTTCTCGTAGCTAGGATCGCACTTGCTGACTCAGCATAATGGACACAGAGACGGTAAGTGACACTTGTTTTCATTCAGACACCGACATAAGGTTTAACGTTTTCGTCCCGTAGGCTGACGTCAACGAGAAGGGAAAGAGTCTCCTACTTAATGGATCCCATATTATATGCAATACTCAAGTTCCTGTGACGTAAGGTTTAATGTTTTCATCCCCAAGGCTGACGTCAACGAGAAGGTAAAGAGTCTCCTACTTAATGGATCCCATATTATATGCAATTGGTTCCCGTGAATAATAATTCAGTCTGGGTTCAGACGTCAATGAGAAGGGAAAGAATCTACCACTTAATGGATCCCATATATGCAATACTCAAGTTCCTCAATCTCGATCACAGAATTAACTTTACCCTTCGTTTATCTCTGATAAAACTCGAAGGCAATTAATCAGCGTAAATTCGGTTGTTAAGCTGCGCTCCCCGTGGCTACTGATTGGCAGGATTTTGTTAGTATGAAATGCTGTCGGTTTCAAAATGGCCGGCGATTTTTACCAGAGATAAACGAAGAGTAAACTTATCTCTGGGATCGAGATTGCAAGTTCCTGTGAATGCTAATTAAGTTGGGGTTAAACTCGCATGTATGCAGGGACGGATCAAGAGGGGGGGGGGGGGGCTCAGCTACATAAACAAATTGTAAGTGTCATGGTCGTGTGCTTTGTCCTTTATCATCAGATGGTGGGATGGGGTGTGCATTCAAAGCATGAGATATTGATTTAGACATAATGTGATATCACAATTACTGCTTTGCATTAATGAAATTGAACCACAATGTGATCCTATTAATTCATAATAAAAAATTGACGTCAAACGGTGTGCATCATGCATTGTCTACTGTCAAATTTCCTTAAAGGGCCAATCCCGATAATATTTTGGAGAATAAAACTGCTTAATTTTGTGTTAAAATCCCTTTAAATCATCTACCTTAGGGTCCAGCAACTAACTCAATATATGTGATACATTTTCAAACAACCTAAACCCGTTAGTCTTAATGGAAATGGAGACCGGTGTCCCAAGCTGTATTATGTGGTGTCTGGATAAAACTAGACTTTTATTTTATTTCATACGTACTCGGAATTTTATTTTTGAGACTCTTTTCAAATCGGGATAGTCCCTTCAACAGGAACCTGGCAAACCCAATCCTGCAAAAACTCCTGGATCCACCCCTGGTATGCTCTATAAAACATGTAACAATTGACTAGGTTGTCATAACACAAGATAGCGGTGCTGCGGCCTACGCAACTATTATCGACGTGCACACGGGTACGGTTTTCCATACCATTCGAATAGCTAGACGGTATTCCTTGAACGGTTATCCGTCCTGCACCTATGACAAGGGTAATGCTGGAAAATCACCAGAATCGAACCCGGGACCGCCTGGTTAGCGAACCAATGACAGTGCCTTATTTACTGAGCCGTGTCCGTGAACGAAATAAAATGGCTTCACCTTCTGGACTAATAAAGACAGCCATACAACGTCATACAGTGTGCTACGAGGGAAATGTTACCCACAAAGGAGAAATATATGCTGCTGAAAAATCCCGACGGAATTTCAAGTGTAAATCAGTCTATACATGTGTTTTAAGATGTTATAATTGCCTTATTTAATACCTCGATAAAGAATACACATTAAATATGAACTATTACCAATATTTATGATTTGATCAAAATGGTAGAAAGGAAAAAGAAATTTGTGCCATTGCTCAAAATCTAAAATCTGCCGTTTAAAAAAAAAAAGAAATTGATTCCATAAATTTTCTTGAGATTCTCTCCCCATAAGAACGCTGTGACATTCTGTTCAACTGTCTAGAACAGTCTCTCTGCCCAAGGAAGGTATCTAGGGTATGTTTAATACTGTTCCTTAAACAGACAGATGCCTGGAAAGTTTTCTTACTCTCCGATGTTTTCACAATTCTTTTCAAACATGGTGAATAATGACAAACGTAGGAGCGATTTTAATAACGACGGTACCGACAGCCCCTTGTTCGTGACTGAATGAGGTTGTTGATGTTGGTGTCCCGGCAAACATCAACATTCGATCAGCTAATTATTCTCAACATATTATATTTAAGAAGATAAGGCGTTCTCTCGCACTTCTACGTATCATATTGCACACACCAAGTCAAGTGCAGACTGTACCACGCGAAGTAAACAAGAACGGAAAAGTAATTAGGCAGTAACCTGAACAGTTAAACCAGCGTCTAGAATCCTGAAAGTTCTTACACTTCTCGTAACACCAGTGCCATGTGAAATTCCTCAGCAGCTGAAATTCCATCGAGCATGCGCATGTTAAGTAAATATAATCAGTGTAAGAAAAGAGGATGAGTTGATAGAAGCCGGAAGTGTTTTAAGAAATGAGTGGTATTTGAGGAAAACAAGAATACAGGAGTGTTATAGCTGTTATTATTATAAACTCAAAGCCATTATAAACAAGAGATATCAATTTGTGACTCTTGTAGATTTTAATATGCATCGAGATAAATATGATTTGCAACCGCCGGAACCAAAGTAAGTTTATTTATAATAATATAAGATCAAAATTACACCAATTCTTTTACCCTGTTTCAGGATGTGTTTAAAGTCCAGTTATTATTTCTAGTTTCAAGGACACTGATTTTGGATTCTTTGACTTTCAGTAAACCATCTTAATCTTGCAATAAATATCTTATTTTAACGTACTAAGATGAAAAGGTTTAATTCTTTTGGTATCTTTTTATGTTTTTTTTGTTTTGTTTTTTTTTATCAAAAGGCGGCCATTGTAAAGGGATTGTAAAATTAATATTTAATACCGTTCGAATTTACATGTAATGAATTATAAATTTTTAAAAGGCGACGTTCCGTTGTTAGAAAGATTGGTAATTATTAAAATGGCTTATAATTAGTAGAGTCATTGTTTAATTAAGTCTTAAATGTCCCTATTGATATATTAAGTTTTAAAAAGTTAACTTGTGCTGCAGGTCGAAATTTAAAAGAGCTGATTTTTTTTAGAGCACATAGTTTACGCTTATCCATTTAGTCGGAACAGTTCTTGCTTTGTACCGACCATCACATTTGTGAAGATCGGATTTCAAAAGACAACTTTGTGTAGGCCTATACAGCCTTGAAACTGTTAAATATATCCGTTAATATATTACGTAGCATTACGTGATTCTTAGATCTGACTGTTTTTAAGAACCCCAATGGAGCTTAAAATATCTTTGTTACACGTCTAACTAACTAGAGGAAGGAAACACATTCTAATTTTGATTGGAAATAGCCGATATGGTTGCCAGAGAGTATTTTCATTTTTAAATTGATAAGAACTATAATATATTCATAGCATTACAGAAGCACCCGGAGAACAGAAAGTCAGAGCTTAAGTTCAAGCGTTCGATTTTTTAAAAAATCTCTTGGAGTTTCTTGAATAATGCTACACCTGAAATGCTTTTCAGAACACTTTTTTAGAAACTATATTCAAAAGTCCTATAAGAAATTTCGTGAAAGATTGCCGCGAATCAATCACCTGTCGAATATTCACTAATAATTTATATTACCCTATCCATTGACATTATGCACGGGTACAATTCCGGAGCATATCGACAACAGAACTATTTTGGGGGTTCACAAATTGATGAGATTTTAACAACCTTAAAATTTCACCACTTACATGTAACAAGAATTTCACCACTTACATGTAACAAGCTTTAAATAAACATAAATGTAAGTTCCACTATACATCTGACTACATCCAATGGGAGGGGCAGTGGGGGGGGGGGGGTATTCGAATTTCTCTGCCCTTGTGCCCGTGATGATTGTGCTATTTTTCTCGACCAATAACAGGATACGATTGGTAGCATAACGACTTTCCACTACCTGTTTTGACTGACATAAAAACATATTTCCCATAAAAAAGATGTTTTGGGACATATGTTTGTGTGCACACTTCTTTTATATTAAATTTCTTGCAAATCTCATGATTGATCGAACAAGCTGTCATATTGTTATGAACGGAACAATGAGGCTAAGACTGGTTTGTAAACTGTTTTTTGATTGGTTCGTAGAATCAAGCTACGACCAAGGGCAGATAATTTGAATACATGAATACCCCATGGATTAACGGAATGAGACCACTGGGGATACCGAGGGTGTGGTTTCATAGCCATATTATCGTGTTACCTTAAATTAGGGTCAATCAATATGACATTCTGTTACGCCCATGTCACACCAAACTAGTTCTCACTACATTCTGGAAAACTGGAAAAGGACATAGAAAATCGTAAAACGGGTTGTGGTTGTGGTACAATCTGTAAATAATGTCTATAATACGATCCTAGTGCGTTCGTAAACAGTCCCCAATACGTCTATCTCGTCTGTACAGCGTCCACAGTCAGTTCATATCAAGTTCAGATCGAGTAAATTTGCCATAGTCCAAGCAAACCCGTTCGTAACTAGTTCTACCCCGTTCCCAATACGTCCGCAATTGGTTCTACCTAGGTCTAACTAGTTTGTAACCCAGTTTAGGGACAGTTCAACGCGTCCCGTCTCGTTCTTAGCGCGTTCAAGCGCTCTCATATTGCGTGTGCAATGCCATCCTGGCTCAATGGCTATAAAACCCGATCGCGTTCTTGCCATTCCTCCTCCCGTTCGACGCTTCGAGCTGTGGTGATCAAGCTCCCATCACACCAAACTAGTTCTCACAACGTTCTGGAAAATGTTGCCAAACATTAGCAACTGTTTACGATCTGTTTAAGAACTTTGTGGGCGGGCTCTGACTGGCAGAGTGCTCTAGAACTTTGAGTCTGTTTAAAATTTTCCCCGTCCTGCAATTAGACGGAGGGGCAACTTTCTTAAAACGAGATGGACGTACTATGAACGGAATTGCAGTATAATGAACGGAATTACACCGTACTCCGATCCTACTAGTAGGGACGTGTTACAACGTGACGTGGTCGAGCATCAATAAGCAGTATACATACTTTATTTATTTTATTTTATTTCGTGGGGGCGGGTGACTATTTACATAATTTAAAAACCCATAATTCATACTTACTTATTTTTTGATGTTACTGCATGTAATTATAAAACCTTTCATATTTGAATTTATTATTGGTGTGTTTATTTTTTTATTTCTATAATTTAATCTGAATGATTGCAGATTTGGGAACCAGACTGGCTCCCACAAACGCCAACATCTATGCATCTACAAAGGCCATAACACTATTCAGCAGAAGCCCTTGTAATTGTGGTACATGTTTTCAGTCTTGGGAGGCTTTCTGATGGCTATATGTTTCCCATCCAGGGTACCACAGGCATGTGGGGCATTCCAGCGAAATGATGAACAAGTGACGAAACAGCACATATTTTTTATACTCTACCTTGTCCGAGCGTACTGCTACAAATTGACCCGGTCGTACTGCTATTTGATGCTCTTACAAGGCCCTGTAGGATCGAAGTAGGGCAATTCCGTTCATAGTACGGTAATTCCGTTCGTAGTCACGTTGTCACTCCGTCTAATTGCAGGAAGGGGAAAATTTTGAACCCACTCGAAGTTCTAGAGCACCCCGTCCATGGTGTTTATAAGCAGTTCGTAAACAGTTGCTACTACGTATACTTAGTTCACCCAGACTTTGAGCCCGTTTGGCAACAATTTCCAGAACGCAGTGAGAAATAGTTTGGTGTGTGTGTGTGTGTGTGGGTCGGGGGACTTTATTCTTCTCTATATACTATGAAATGCCACTTTAAAATCCACCAAAATGATATTCTATATGAACTATAATGATTGCTATATATGCGATGAGGATTAGTTTCCAATTATCATTTTAACTCTGTGTACCCTTGCAGAGGTCTTTAGAAATTTTTTTAGAAACTTAGTATAGATGTTTTTGAAATTTTCCGCGGGATTTGTTGACATTGTTTTTGGGGCTATTATAGCACGGACGACGCGGCTGGTGGTGGGTACTCTTCAGTTTTTTGGGGCCTCATGATCTTCCGTCAATGTTTGAAATTTACTGTGATTGTTCATTTGGTCTTAAGAACCAAGCCAAATTTAAAAAAAAGTTTATCAACACAATAAACAATAAAATATTTACTTTTACAGCTTGTCAACTTTTGCAAAAGAAAGGCCCAATGAGGCCAAAAGGCGTACGAAAAGCCTTATAGATCGATGTGGGAATTGAAGACCTTTTCAAATCATTGAAATTTTAGGGAATGTTGACTACGTATAGGTCTTTGATTTTTAAATCGTATCTCCCGTTTCTACAGGTTATTAAGTAATTTAGATAATTTTTATTTCAATTTACGTTAATTTCTTCTGAGATATGTTTACACCAGCAATTTGTAAAACATGAAATGATCTGGAACGGAGCCAGCAGTTTTAGACAGGATATTAATGTTTTTAAACTGCGAGAATACGTGTTAAATACACCAAGAAGAGATTACCTGGTTAGACCCATTTAATATATATACTACAGTACGACAAACATATCAGGAAGGTGTAAACAGATCAGTATATATATAGCAAGACTGGGGGTGACGGCTGGAGGAGAAGTCGCCCCCTGGCGCAGGTGAAAAGGGGCGCAAATTCCCCCCAGGTCTTTTTATCCCATATGATGCTCGTTAATTAATAATTATGCCCCCCCCCCTCTCCCCTTAAGATTTATATTAGTGTTGAAATATATATACGTGACAACATTAAAATTATGTTTGTTATAATTTTATTTAGTTCATTTTTTCCTTTATTATGTAATTTAACCAGATGTCTTTAGTAAAGTCCTTGCCACGCCGCAACATTAGCACACGCTACGTGTATACTACACGCATTGTAATGTGGCATTGAATTAGAGAAGATATGTAAGGAATTTATATATACCTAAATTCTGATTGTAGTTGTTGGCTATATGTTTTGTTTTTTTTCTTGTATGAAAAATTCCATCTGCATCAATTGCTGTTTGGCCTATGTTAAAGCTGCATTGTAACATTTAGATAAAAATCTGACCCTTCTTGGTATAACAGTTCACAAAACGATAATGAAAAATGAACATATTGAAAATTTCATTCAAATTACTTTATTCTGGGCGAAGTTATGACTGTTTGAAGATGTAGCCTAGACTATTTATTGTCACAGCATCGGCCTTTGACAACCGAGAGTATCCATGTTATCGTTAATTTTTAAATCTCGCAGGTGTTCAAATCCATTTAAATCTCGGCCATCCGATGTTCTAGAGAGCTGATTATAGGCTTGCCATGTGAATAAATGTCTAAATAGTAGTTTATATAAAATTTGAAGCCAGGAAAAAATAACCCACAATAGGCAGATTTAGCTCTTACATAAAGCATTTTTAACGTTACTACCACTTCATTGCCCTACATCGGTTAAAGATGTCCCCCCCCCCCCACCCACGTACAACCTGTGTGATTTGATACTCGCAATAGGCAGACTTATCTCTTACATAAAGCATTTTTAACGTCACTACCACTTCATTGCCCTACATCGGTTAAAGATGCCCCCCCCCCTCTCCCCCACGAACAAA